GTGTGACTCATTGTGTGCATATACCGAAAATTGACTTCTCAAGCTACTTCAAGCCGTATAGTATCCTAATACATAAAACACGAGTTGGAAAGTATTGGAAAGAAAATATTGTATGAGCCACAGTAATCTATCACTACTGTCACGCAGCCTTGGTCTTAATCCCAATATAATATGACTACAAGTGACGAGACACTATACCATAGATCACGATATTATGCACTGTATATCCAAACTACTTTAATTATGGATTCTATAACCGCAGAAAAGTACAGACTGTTACGAGTTTTATTCATATTCTGCTAATCACATATTGATAATAAACAACCGTACGTTTAGCTTTTCATACCAAGTTACGAAGGATTTTGTGAGTATACCTCAAGATGATTGACTTACTTGATCGACTTTTTTCACCATAGTGGGCACGTAACTTGGATCGCAAATAACCATACCACATTTTGCAATTTTGTTATCTGATTTGACTCCAACAACTCTTCCTTTTTCCATCACTAGTTCATCAATCGGTTTATTGAGCATGTAAGTTCCACCGTACACAGCGCACAGGCGAGCAAACGCTTGAGGCAATTCCCCCAGTCCATAGAGGGGATAGAGATATGGCGATTTACCGAATCGACAAACAGACTGGCTATACAGTTGCATACGACTTATCACCTCGATAGCAGGGACACTTTCTTTGTATGAATCATCTTGGAACAGACATATTGCATGTCCTATAAAATTCTAAATGGGAAAACATGTATAGTAGTAACTAGACTTTTATTACAGGATAATTCACTTATCAAAATTTAAATCATTCACTGGAAGCCGTTAAATCAAAACGGTTGAAAAAACAAGGGCGAGGAGCATTTATATAAAATAATATGTCCGTAAAAGTATACCAACACTGATGATTCACACTCGCAAATGAATAGTTACTTACTTGGGTTTCTTTATTGATATTAAAACTACTAAAAGCGTGAGAAATAGTATCCTTTTTAATATCCAATGGTGGGGGATACACATAGTTCCATGTAGACGGATTATCTACATCAACATTCATCGACCAGACCAACAACTTTCTGAACCGACGCTTTTCGAAAAGGTCCATTAGTTCTGCAAAATTATGAACATGATGAACGTCATCATACTTGTACTAAGTGCTTCACTTTCATTACATGGTACTTTGTAGACACAACCTGAGTGATAAACATAACTTCCTTCTACACTTCTAAACTCTAAGTATCGCGTCACGCCAGTATGAACAAGGATTTGAACCAATTTTCCTGTAATCATATGTTAACAAAAAGGAAGTTTACGTACCATTCGCCATTAGAAACTTCGAAACCAGATCAACATTCCAGTCTTTAGCACGATGATACTTAGAAATGTCTGTCTCAAAGTTAAAGTACTGGAACAAGGAGTCGATATTTACGGATGTGATATCACCACCGTAGTAACTGTTCTTATCAATATGGAGGACTTTTTTCCCTTCCATAGACATTAGGCTGCTAAGTATACATTCCTTATGAACATCGAAGACGATAAAAATAGGAAAATGACATTACTTTTAAACCTGTTCCTAAAACAACAACGTCGTACTCATCATCCATAACTCAGCTGTTTGCAAAGACCAAGGATTAAAGAACACCAGCTGATCTGAGTTTCAATGTACAATTTGCCTCAAGCACAAATATGTTTGGAAGAAATAGTGAACTGCTTGTTTCTTCGGGTATTCATCTGGGTAGTAGGAAGAAGTTCTTGGTTGAAAAGAAGTGTGAATTTCGTTGTACTCGTTCTGTAAACTCAGGGGTAAAACAATTAATTATACAGGTGGTCGAGGGGTAAAAATTAAATTAATTGCCCGTAGTACGAACAGAGCTAAAGTAACTGTAAAGCCTTCTTATGAGAGTATAAGCAGGAAAATCTTTCACTATAACTTTTGGTAGCGGATCTCATAAATTCCTTATACGAACAACGAAAACGTTTGCACTAGTTTTGTGAAAGCTCCTTCGTGTTCTAACTTGAGCTGCTACCATCATAAGTATAATTTACTACTGAAACGTATCTGCGGCAGGATCAAGTAGAGGGAATTACGAGCATCATAATACATCATAGTCATAAATCTCCAGACTGCTCTTAAGATCACTGTCCGTATTTAAAGAGCTACCAGATGAAGGCGGTATGTATTTAACTTATTCAATTTTCTTCACTTTTATTTATGAATGTTACGGTAACATTATATCATTCTTAACGTAGGCGAGAATACGGAGGTTGTGCCAACAGATGAATACTTTGTAGTGGAAAATAAATCCTTGAAATATAGTTCTGTAAGTTTTCAAAATTGATGCTGACCTCATTGGTTCGATTGTACACACCGTAGCTGCAGGCACTTGATCACTCACCTCCACCAGATCACGAGTGTGTGACCGCCTTGTCTCGTATAACTTCCTTGAACAGCTTCCAAGGAATCGACCTACTTGAACTCGCCGAGCTTCAAAAAGAAGACAGTGATCTTTAGCACGAGTTATCGTCCACAACAATCAAGTTACGTATCAAACAGATGGGAACAGGTAAGGAAACCTTACTGTGTGACACATATACAGGTGGGAATCGCCCAATCGTGCCGAAACATTATCGACTCAACGTCTTCAATATGTTGTACAAACTTTCCCACCCAGGCGTTCGTGCAACCATCAAGCTTATAGCAGAACGGTTTAGGTGGCGTGGCATGAATAAAGAAGTAAGAGTGGACACGCTTCCGTGTAAGCTGCCAAAAATCTAAGGTTGTCAGACATAATAAATGTCCCTTAGGCTAATTTAAAACTTCCGATGCTCGTTTCGACCATATTCATCTGGATTTGGTAGGACCTTTACCAGATTCAAATGGATACTCTTACCTCTTAACTTGCGTAGACCGTTTCAGAAGGAGTACCTTTCCAGGGCATCACTGCTGTAACAGTGGCTCGCGCCTTCGTCGAACGATGGGTAGAAAACTTCGGCTGCCGTTCAACCATCACTACAGACCGCGGACGTCAGTTTGAATCTAAACTTTTCCGTCGTCTGACCACACTTTTAGGAATCACTCGCTTCCGAACGACCACCTACCACCCACAAGCAAACGGGTTGGTAGAACGCTTTCACCGACAACTAAAAACTTAACTATCAGGTGCAAACGTTTCACAGTGGGCCGACGCTCTCCCACTCATCTTACTAGGTATTCGCAATGCAGGCACAGCTGACATTGGATACTGTGCGGCTCAACTCGTTTATGGAATGACACTGCGACTTCCAGGAGAATTCGTGGATCTATCATCCTCTTCAATGAGCATGGATCTAACCTCCTACACGAGCAGGCTTACAAACGCAATGCGTTCAGTTAAGCCTGTTTCCGCCCGACCTCAATCAACTGATGTTTTTGTTAAAGCTGACTTACGATATAGTACACACGTCCTCGTATGTCAAGACTCGCATCGACGACCATTCGAATCAGTAGACGAAGGACCTTTCAAAGTTCCTAAACGTGAATCTAAGTACTATATAATCGATAAGAAGTGAACCAGCTATAGCATCAGCATCGATCGCCTCAAAGTAGCGTATTTAGAAGGAAATACTATCTACATCGATTTTCCTTCGGTACAATCGAACGACACGACTCCGACACATATAATACCTCATCCGACAACCAACACACACGATGATACTTCGACAGTATCTGAAAAACAACTTAAAACAACGCGTTCTGGAAGAAGAATAAGATTTTCAGACATTTAAGTGACCATTGCACATAAGACACTAGTTAACATTTTGTTTCATCTCGATTTTCCATGTCATTATATATAATATAAAAATTTTTTAATATGGTTATATTTATATGTATTTATCATTTGGTTAATATGTTTAATATAAAGATTCAAAAAACATTTTGTAAAAATCGCTTTTTACGTTAATAACCTTTTTTCGCCCATTTTGTGCCTTAAAGAGCGTACGAGTTTATTTCGACGTCTGGAAAAGACGATAAAGAGAAAGATGAGGTTTACGATGAACGGAAATTTTCATTGTACATTATTTTTTTAAGGTGTTGTATTTCGTGGTCCCTTATAGTAAGGAAAGACGACCAGAAGCTGCTAAACCTAACAAGTTATCAGAAGAGTGTTTACCAACGACAAAACTCGTTGAGTTTAAACTTTTGGCTGGCCACGTCTCAGGGTCATCACTACCCTACTAGGGGGAATGATCTGTAGCGGTAAACAAATCCACAAAATAAATACCTCTGTAAGTCTTAGTTATTGGATGCTGACCACATTAGTTTTTGTGGACTCACCTAGCTGAAGGCGCTTGGTCATGCATCCGCACCAGATCATGTGTGGGAACGCCGTGCTCAACATCTACTGCGATCGCTAGCTAGGTTAGATCAGACGGTTCTCGATATATTGACAGTCAACAAATATATCTTCCGATCTCCTCGTTTCTGTCTTTTGATTTCACTTGGTGGGTACGGTTCATATTAGATGTTGTCAAACTCTGAATACCGGTGGCATCTACTACAGCTTAGGTGTCTCTTCCGTCCCAATGAAAATAAAATACTTAAATGAGTGAAAAACATATCTCAAGAATGCAATAACAATATCCGTAGATGTAAAAAACAAAAAATAAAGTATGGTATGTAATCTTACAATAAGGAACAGACTCATAGTTTATTGAGCCTTTGCATCCATGGGGGAGACTGAATCTATCTACGAACTCTACTTATTCCTAAACTGCGTGGCTCACAGTCTTGTTTCGATAATATAAACGTTGCCTTTGTGCTTCACTAAAGAGATAATTTACAGACATTGGTCGATCGAACTGTGATACATAATAATATCAAAACAAGCTTGATGGTTTATTGCTTTAAATACTTGAAACTAGTCACATTTGTTGAAAATAGATTAATAGTCTCGAAACAAATGAAACATCTTTGTTCAATTGCACATGTTTAACACTACCTTTGCTATTGTTGAGTTGTTTGTTTTTATAACTTATTTGCGGTATGAGCGTTTTTAACTGTTGTTATATGCTTTCAATGTCTGAGGATGATAAATGTTTATGACAAAAGCCCTAGTTACCGCACTTCTTTTCGAGCTGCCGACTTTTATTCCCTTTTATCAGCTTATGATGAAACAGTTAGTAGAAACCTTGGGATATCTCATAGTAGTCAAGATGATGTAAAGAAATCATTCGTTTTTCAAGGTAAAGTAAAAAACCCTAGAAAGGTGAGTTATATCCTAATATTCGATTTCACAGTTATATAAGTTATGAAGTGTTTTTGACAAGACGAGAATTGGTTAGATCTAATGATATAAGCCTGAAGAGTAGTGACCGAAAATGTTTAGGACTATTATATGAGGTTATGTTTTTTATGCCTTATTCACATTCACATTGATAAGACCATAATAAAATAAATAAATAAATGTTATAACCGATTTGATATCACATCGGTCATCGATGGTTTGACCTCATGTTATGAGTCTGTAATTCTTCGAATCTGAAGATCAAATACTGTTCATTATTAACTACATTAGGTCATTATTCCATAAAGGTAATTTTTTATGAGCTGAAATTGTCAACACTAACAGATCATGTGGGCTTTTTTAGTCTGTAGCTGTTTGTGATAGTTCTGAAGCAACAGCTTACGGTGAGTTAAACAAATTCCAACGTAAGTGGGTCTAGCGAATTTATTGAAAACATAGATCGTTTTTTTGTTATTCACTAAGACAAAAAACAATAACTAATCATAGTTATGTTGAAATTTAGTACATGTTTACTGTTCAAGGTGTCAAAATTATTATTCCCAAAGGTAATTCTAAACACAGTGTTTAAAGTTTTCTTCCCAAAATTATTCAGCAAAGTTGCTTTAAAACAATTTAGTATTAAAGTTAAGTAGATTTTTCATGTAAAGAATCATAAAGTAAAGGCCACAATGTTATTTAACATGTGCTAATAATCAGTTAGGCGTTCCAACTGGAACAAGTCTGGGGAATTAAAAAATAAGGTTTTGGGATGTTGGTAGGAAGTTGAAAAACTTCTTGTTGGCTGCCTGAAAATTGCTGTTAACATTTTTCCAAGGGCATTCGTAGAAGATGATGCTTTTGTCTCGAGTTTATTGGCTAAATTAACTGAGAATATTTTTATGACATTGTGCAGCATTGATAAAAAACGACCTTTGCCAAAACATTAATACTGGAATTTAAGACAATACATATCTATAGATTCTTTTATTGGCAATTCCGTTAATAATTGCTTTAGATGAATTTATAAACGAGAATTCTCAGATTTCGATTTTTGTCTTTGACAGCTCAGTTTGATTTGAATTTTGAGCTTATCCATCTACCTTCATAATGAAATGTGGGTATTAATTTCCAGGAAGATTGTTTCAAAAATAATCCATCGAAATTGAAACAACATCTTTCTGTACAGCTAAACCTGCAAGCACTTGTTAAAAGTCATCAGGATGACGTTGTTGGACTTATTCTGTGTGGTACTGGGAGTTATGATAGGAATTGTGGCACAAGTTCACATAATTGCTCAATTAGTTTTATCCACCCGTTAATGTTTGCCGTTCGTATTCTTATGAAATATTGAAGTATATATAACAATCACTGATTAAAATAGAATTTTGAGAGCAAAGGTTTTAGTTTAACAATCCGAATCCAAATGTTACGCGTATAAAATTAGTACTGCATCTTTTTAATGTGCCAAAAAAATTCTTAATTAGAATTTAGGCTGAAAACATTGATTATAAAAGTTTCACATGATTTATCACTCATTTTTAATGTAAATTAATAATATCACGGAAAGCATTTACACTTGACAAAATTCTGTTTAATATAAGATTTCGTCAAGTTGTATAGGTCTAGCAACAAGTATTTTATAGCAGGTGGATGTTCGTGCATCTAAGCAACTGCTATTAATTTCTTTCCTGACTTACAGGCTTTTGAGTATTTCAAAGTTTGGTACCCTGTTTCACGTACTGTTTGTTTTTCACTACATGTTAAGATACATCGGCAGCTTTAAATCATTGCTTTGACTTTTATTTATCAATATACTGTAACTCAAATGTCGTGGGACAGGACTAACTGTTTGTTAAAAAACTACTTAAAACAGCGTTTAAGAGTTTTTAAGGGAGCGCTTGGTTAAATGAAGGTAAATTAACGAATGTGGATATCTTCCTACTAAAGTAATCATGAAAACGACTTCATTGATTGCATTCGAAAACGTAATACTGCGTTAACTTTTCCTGATTAATTAAACATAGATTCTAGTTTTTTCGAGTCTGGAAGAATAAGGAGTCAGAGGATGCAACCAGTTGTTATTTCCAAAATCTAAATTTTCCGCGCTCTAAAGGATTTTACTTTACATTTTGGTACTCATATCGGAAATCAATTTTTTGGTGATTTTAGAGATTTATAGCCAATATACAAAATAAAGGTAACTCATTAGATATTGCTATATTTACTAATGGTATTCATCTGTTACTTTGTTTTTTTACAGAACAAGGATGAAGGATCGTTTTCAAAAGAGATCAGTAGTTCTGACTATCATAAACCCAGAACGTTTCAACATTTATTAGTAAACAGCGATGTTAAAGAGTATTCGAAACCTAATCCTATAATTTTTAATGACCTTTGCCAACAAAGTCTAACAGGATTTAGTTGTTCACTTCCACAGGCACTGGAGAAAATTAGTTCTGACATACATAATACAAAATTTTGGACTGATTTACAGACAAACAACAGTTTAAGTATAAACAAAGACTTGCCAAAATTTTCAAATAAACATCAAGTAAAATTGTTAGACCATTTAGAAAGTACAAGGGGGTCTAATATAGTAGTCAGACAAGTTGACGCGACTGCTGAAACGATGACTATTGGATTACCTAACTGTCGAGCTTTACCATCCGTCCAGAAAACACCTAGGATAATACGTGCAAGGATATTTTTTAATCAAATAAAAACTGGGTTAAAGTAAGCAGTCATCAATTATGGTATTTGTTTCTGTAATCTTAATTATTATTTTATTTTAAGACATTAACTGTTCATTTGGATTTTATCAGAAACATCTGGGTTATAAAATAATTTATTTATTGTTTAGCATGAATAAAAGTAGTTGTTGGTTTCTCACCAGGGCTTACTCATTTAAATAAAACTAAATAAACTTCATTCAACTGAAATGCTGGAAAGCATGCCGGATTACAATATATATTATCTACTCCTATAATAACTTGGTTATTCACATCATCAATCAAAACTCTCGATATTTCACGGCATTTATATTTTTGTCATTTTTGACATTCATGTTTTCGGGAACTTCAAATTATGCTAAGCACAAGCAAACATCTGGATAACTTAAAGAGCTAAAGCAATACTTGTTAACACTAATCTGTTGAATCAATTGTAAAAGAGTGTGAGGAACTGCTATGATAAGAGTAATTTTATCATATCAGTCAGCTAAGATATGTATTCGTGTAGCAATGATGTGCACGCCGAACGTAACCTATTACACAGTATCACTTGCTAAAACTATTTCGTTGCTTTCGTTAAATCTCTAACAGATACTCTTCAAAAGAGATAAACCATGATGGTTTCATTTACATTTACGACGAACTAACTCCAACTAAATTACACTGACTAGAAAATGAAACACAAGCTTGTACGTGGAATTCATCTTCGCAAGGTGACTGATCATAATGGAAAGTGTTCGGAAGTACATTGGCAATTAGTAATTTTTGCTTGTATTATTAATGCTACTGATAGTTGTAAGATTTTATGATTAAGATCTCATCATATCAGTACCATTAAACATGACGTTTAATAATCTTCGAATTCTAAATCAACCATGCCAAACCAAGTTTACACCTTGGACTCCTTCATCTTCAATAGTACATAATTTAAAAGTTCTATTATGTCAATATGTGTTGATTCTTGAGCTACGTTTTGCGTCTTTTATTTCTGAAAAACGCAAACTATTTGGCTTCTATGACAATCCATTATATTCAGTAATTACGTCTTCTATATAAGGCTGACATATGTACAGATATGCTTCGCGAATCTTTTGTAGCATTTACCTTATGAATAGTATTCTGTTAACAATATTTGGTTGTGGTAGATTGTTTAATGATAGAGTTCTAACTCATCTGAAATTTCCGTTTTATCAAACGTTCTTTAGCTTATTGTATACATTTCTAAGATGATCATTTGTAGCCGAACCAAAGATGAAGATTCAAAACGTCACATTTTTAAAGGTCGACAATTAATTTGGTGAACGTTATCCTCTAACTGTAGGATTAATAGGTAAATTTTTTCCGGGGTTTATGTATTGACCAGATGATTTTTATGTATTCAAAAACTTAGTATCAACATACGTATTAAGATTCATATGGACGACATACAGCTTCCTGATCATTAACCTTACTTATCTGAAAATGTTGTCTAGGTTTCTTTAAAATAATATGCAATATTATACAGTGTTTAAATAAAGTCAATAAAAAACTAAATAGTAAGTTGTATTTTGATTCAAAAGGAGAATTCGGTTTAAAGTGTCATTTTAATAATTACCATGATATAAACAATACTAGTTTTCCGTTTTAGAGAACATATTGAATGGCATACAACCCAATTACAACAAGCAGAATTAGACCAGGATGTAATATCAGCTAATAAGGTGAGTAATTGTTACTAATCCCTTGCTAAAAATGTAAACCGATCGTACTTGAAATAATGGAAAATTATTAAGTCTACTTCTATTATTACTACTAGTGTGACTGCTACTTCTATTATTATTATATTTCTTAACATGTTTGGATAGAATTTGGTTTATAACTTAATAGTATTGATTGTGATTACTTTTTTGTCGATGAATATAACATAAAAAGGTGACAGTCATGATAATTTTACGGCGAAATCCGAGAACTTCCATGTATACATGGATAGATTTATAATTTGATTGTATTTATAGATAACGCAAGAATACTGCCGTTATTCCAACCCAAAGTAACAGCTTAATCAGTATAAATCAAAACACACTACAAATTCCATTTGTGATATTAGACATTTTAATTAGTAAATGTGGATTTTACAGGAATCTGTTTTCAAGAAGAGCTTAAACAAAACGTTACTATGTGACTTAGATTTTGGGAAATTTCAGAGATTTAGTTGATGGTAGAAGTCTTCCAAATGTGACAGATTCGGTGATCGTTAAGGTTAATAAGAAAGATTAATTTAATTAAAGTATTAGTCAGTCAAAATATCACTAAGATAAACGGGCAGTTGATACATTTTCAGAGTGTATTGACATAACTGCCTTAAGCAATTTAATAGACTGTTTATTTAATTTCCAGGGTGTGTTGATCTACCAATATTAAGTTTGCTTTATTTTTCCCTTAAGTGCTATTTGCAACTTGCGTGGTTGTGCCAAACGTTTAGAATGCTGAAACAGTTGATCCCGGTGGAAACCAAAAACTATTTTGTACGCTTAGAGATTGCTTGAGGTCATGGCATTGAGCTCACTTATATCTAATTCACCTACTGTTATTTTGTCATTTTCTAAAAGAAATGACATTGTTTTTGAATATATAACATAGTATCTGACCCTGGTATGTATGTTCATACTATACATGTAATAGCCTTTTTTATTCGAGGCCTGAAATTTCCTTATATAGGATCAGCTCTTCAAAAACAGTTAAGATTTATTTCAGGTAACAAGTCAAGTAGATAGATTCTCATACTCTAGATTCTAAAACTTGGATACTTTTACAAGGTGTTCCAAAAGTAGATAGGCTACTTTCGTCTTTTATTTATATAGGAGATAAGTAAAAAGTGAGTAGCGTTGATACCAATTTACTCAAAATATTTGGCTAGTGGAAGAGACTTCCAGGGCTGGTGCTATGTCAAGCCCACATAGGCTATTCTAGCCTCTGAACAGATCAACCTATTCATTATACTCAAGCCACATTTTTACCGTCACTCATTCGCTTATCAATCTTAACTTTTTTACATGACCGTATGTGTGTTAATTAATTACCTTATTCATTATGTATCTGTAACTTATTTTGGTTTGACTACAAATATTGAGTAACGCTCGATAAAAACGAGTTAGCTCACTCACCTTTTCCACAGCGCGTCATTTCGTTTAGCGTCACTCTCCGATCAACTACTGTACGAAATATATGTATTCAAAGATTCATTCTCGTATTTGACTTATTTAATTCCGTTATTCACCAACGCCATTTATGTCGATAATTGCATACGAGAATTGGCGACATGTATATTTCGATAACAAGCAGCAAACCATCTACCTGGAGTCAGATCCCAGGTCAATAAAATATAACGATGGACATTTCGAGCCTTTTTATTTGTAATTAATGTAATCCAAGGTTACTGAATATCAGTTTTGTTCAATATCATTTTGAACCTTTTCCTCTGCGTAACTCTTCCTATCACTGAATTCCAACATATTTCGTTGTCACGTGGTAGTTCCTCTACTCAGTCCCTTATTTTTCAGTTCATCATGAATTAATTAACTAGGATAATTGATCAGCAGACGATTTTGCTTAGCTGGATATAAAAACCTGATGAGCATTGGTTGTATTATATTATGAGTGGTGATAATGAGATAACCAGTCATATGACTAACATGAAAAACAAGAATCAGAAGATCGTTGTGTCACGGTGTAGTTAATAATAACAGAATTCAAGCATTTCCGTTTCTTAATACTGAAGTATATTTTAAGAGCTAAGAAGACTATAGCAATTAGTAGCTCAAACTGTAAATGTAAAATCCTCTATAAATAAACAATTAACTGACATTTTTAAACGTTACTGTTTTACTTATTGAGACAGACGTTGCCTAACATTAGTGAAATTTGTCTCGACAGACCCAGTCGATGACATTTTAAGCTCTCGTCAACCAATTTACTACCTATACGCATAATTTCAGTATTACTCTCCATAAATAACACTTGTGAGTGCACGTTACCAATCTACTTGTGTTTTCAAAAGTCGTGGTTTGCAACTTTAAAGGCAATATAAAGAAAAATGGTGTCTAGTTCACTAGGTAGTTGGTGACCGAATGGACATCTCACCTATCCCACAGGTAGTTTGAGTTGGCAACTAACCAGAGTAAATTCCGCATCCGTGGGGAGATTTCATCAGACACAGATTCATCAGGGATGGCCTAGATTGATAAAGCAATCAGCGTGTTCAGCATTTTATCTAATTTGGTCAAACTAGACTGGATATTATAAAGTTGCTTCGGAATATCCAAGTGATGAGCTCGAGTTAAGATAGCGCTATAAGTTCTGTCAAACTTTTAATAACATAGGCGATATCATTTATGCACATAAATACGTTTACTGATTCATTTTTAAGAAATCCCCAAAATAATCATTGAAAAAATGCTTATATAATCTTAAATCCTTTTGTAATATTTTCATATATACTGTAGGTATAAGTATGTAACAGTTACCAACTAACAAAATCATTGAAATTCAAATTATGCTAGTATCAGGGCCTTCACATTTTTTCAAATTGATCTCGAAGCATAAATCTAAAAAGAATAAAAATAATATAGAAATGTTTATATCATTATATATATAATTATTTATTTATTAGATTATTTGGTTAAATTTTTAATGTTCTACTTTTTCCAAATACAAAGATGTATGAATGTTGACTAGCATAGTGTGATAGGAGGTGTTTTTATACTTTAAAAAACGATAAATAGAAATATTTTGGTTAAATTTAGTATACTTTATGTATGTGGAATAATAGAAAAAAAAAGAACACTATGCAAACCTACCTGAACACTTACAGTAAATAGAAATTACTAATTAATAGTTTTATAAATTCCTAATGATAGTAAATGACTCATTGACAATTTCTTATTTTAACATAATTCAATGATTTGTAGTTCTTCATAAGTAGAACAAATATTTTAATACATTCTCAGTTTAAATCAATGATGAAATTATACCTAAATATACTGACAAGTATAGCATACACAAAAGAAAATAGTGATTGTAAAATTTGTAGATTGACGTGCTGGTTATAAGTGATATTATTATTATTATTATTATTATTATTATTATTATTACTATTATTATTATATGGTTTCCTCCATGAGGAAGTCGACTTTTTCTCAAACGTTTACTTATTTTATAATAATCATATTAATGATAAATTAGTTAATGATGACGTAAAATAGAAATATCCAAAGTTACTTTGAAAAGAAATATTCTCAGAAACATCACTTTTTATTTACTTAAGTGACATTTTCATTATTTATATTATTTTTGCTTATATTTGTTATATTGTGTGCTTTCCCTTGTTCTTAAAATTTTTTCAGGCATTAGAAAATGTCAATCAATTACAGCATAGGTTGAATACAGTAAGCTATGCTACATTTTTCTATCATATTTTTAAGTTTCATTTATATTAATGTAGATAGGTTTTTAATCACTAAAAAGTATACCAGATAATACTTATATAAATAAGAGTATTTACTTGTTATAAAAGTGATGGAACTCATTGACCTGGTTAGCTCAATAAAGAATATAATTATGCACAATTAAGTGACCTACACTAAGTGTTGAACGTTTAGTATTGTCAATAAACAAATGTTGTAGATAAATCGATTTATTTGTATATGGTGTTGAGGGCTTTATAATGCCAGAAATCGTTGGCTCGAAGTCCGCTGTGTAGTATGTTTCAGACAAAATGATGTGTTGGAATGCAGTTTTCCTTTTCTCTTAACTTTTCAATGTCTTCGTTAATTTATATTTCTATCAGTTCATACTTCGTGTTTTTTCTAGTATCTTTCGATTACTATAGATTATTCCTGTCTTACGATTTTATAGTAATCTGTGTATATGTTTGTAATAAACCATCACGTATGATTTCGTATTATATTTTTATACAAGTCTATTAAGTAATATCGAGTGTGATTTTATTTACACAAAAAAGAGTCATAAATAAAGTTGCAACAGTTAACTATTTGAAATATGGTAGTAATAATTAGAATAGTTAAGAATATTTCCACGATGTTGAACGTAGAAAATCAATATCTACTCTATAGACTTTTGATAAATGACATTTTTCCCACAAGCAGATAATGTGATTTTGAAAGAAATGCTCTTTGTCGTAATTTCAACTTCATTAACTTGTCAAGTTGTATTGATGAAGTTTCTTGGAGTGCTTAAAAACTACTGAGTCATGTCAAGCCATACATATTTAATTCTACGGAAGACAACAAGTGAATTCGTATATCAGTAAGTGTTTACCATCGTGTAGTTTGTACATGTACTTAGTGGTATAACGAGATTATAAAGACTTTAACAACTGAACTCAGTAAGCTAAAGACAGTGTATTCACAACGAAGCCTAAAGGTCAAATGTTCAGTCAAACATGTAGTTGTGACTGCACATTACTGAGTAATCCTGTACCAGAAAAAATACCTGCCCTGTGTTTCTAGTTTTTATTGGTTATCTAAGTAAATAAAGACCATTCGTAAAGTAAGTTCACTTCAAACTGAACAATTTTGACTAACCCTTTAGTCTAATAATGAGATTTATTTAATTTTCCTACAGTATGACTTTTGACTTAATTATATTGTTTTAAGCGTAAACGTAAAAAGAATTATTTCAGCAGTGGGTAGTAGGGTTAAAAATTCTAAGACACAATTGACAAGAACTTGCTTATTTTTATAAATTGACGTTCACCCTATAGTTGGTCAATGTAGTATAAATAAATAATGAAACACTGTAATAGAAGCACAACTATTGAATGTATCAGAAAATCGATCACTGTGACACGAAGCTAGTTATATTTCATCTCCATCTAACTGCTCAACTTTTTCTTCTGTTCTGGTTTCTGACACGGTTTTAACTTTGATTAATTACCGCTTTTTATTAAATCTTATTAGCTATATTATTGTGATCTATATTGACTCAATTCTATGTTCTCTGTCTTATTATATGTCATCGTATATATATTAAAGCAAACAGTAAATAAATTGAATTCTCAATAACTGATTCCGAAATTTATAATAATGCTGATGTATAAATAACATGAATATTATCATTTAAAGGATTATCTAAAGTCAACATTCCTTTCAGCGTATCAAATATTAATGGATAGATACTGTCTTCTATTTTGTACCTGTACGTTATACAAGTTATCATTTAAGAAGATAAAAGTTTACATAACTGTATAGTGAAGTATTGATATACCACTGAGTTGACTAATTTCATATTACCTCGACATTGTATGATAATCAGGTGGTGTCAGAGTGGATACATTGAACGATGTCGTTATATGGTCAAACCACATATAAATTGAGAGCAAGAAAGAATAACTATAGTAGAAAAATAACAAAAATTCATTTGTTTCATCGATTTTCTTCAACTGTTTAGCGCTTAGAAGTTTAATATTAATTATTTAGGAATAAAACAGCATTCGTCCGTTTCAGGAGAAAAGTCGGAATTGAATTTGAGTTTGACGTGTTGATGTAGGTTAACAAACAACGAGGAATGATTGAAAAATGAGTTTAAACAGTAGTCTATCTACAAATCAAATGTATAAATATTCTAGGAGATAAAACTGATAAGCGTAAGGAATCGGTAGTCTTCAAATCAGAAGGTTAATGTCAGGGTTTATGTAATGCTGAAAATGAAATTAGTTATCTCAGTGAAGTTCGGATAAGAATCAAGATATCAGATGCTGTAACTAAAATGATAGAAAAAATTATGATTCTACGTTTACGCAATGTTCACCGCCTTCGCAACATACAGCATCTATATATGCTGCAGTCTAACGCTATGAATTTGCTTGAAATTTACTTAAGTCTGTTAAACGGATTTGGCCTTTTTTTCGGTTTCTTCTAATTCGTATATGCAACGATATAAACCATGAACTATAATGGCTAGTGGTCATATTGCAACTTCGTTGAAATACATTTGTCAATAATAAAGACTAAATAAACATAAGGTTAGTTAATACTCAGGGATTAATGGTTGGAGAACTTCTTAACACTTAATACACACAATCAATTGACTATAATAGAATAAATAACTTCTTGATTAAACAACAGTCAATTTTAAAATAAATTTATATTCTAAATTCTGTTCATTAGCCATTCTTTTCTCACACTTCACTCTTTTAAAAGAATAACCTTTCTTTAAATATGCATGTTAATATAAATACATATCCATTAAACAATGATAAATCATACATGATTGTTGTACTAGATGCACAGAGCAAGTATGACTTTCAAAAATTCAATTCATCATAGAACTGATATAATTCGTTATTAGGACGAATTTTTGGGCAGCGTTAAACGGTAAAACTATTTATAGTAAACATTTGGTAAGAATTATGTATTTATTTATACCTGTTCGGAAATTATTGATGTTTTTTATTATTGCCTATATGGCGCCCTGTAACGAAATATACTTCAGTTTTATGGTTTCATTAACTTGCTATAGTTTAAAGATGGTAATATTTTAATCAAAAGTACACCATGAATCTTGACTAGAATAATAATGAAGCAACATTTAATATTTACACATACTTATACTATTTTAAAAAACTTGAGTACTTTTGCAAGGAAATAATTAAAAGATCAGATTATACACATATGTACATATATTTATTGATTTTTAGTTGCGAATCGAACCGTATAAATAGTAGATCAAAGACTGTTGTGAATCAGTTAATTTTATTCATTTTTCATTTAGGTCAAGTTGTAATTAAGTAGAGCAAGAAAAAGTATCGATCATTAGAGTTTGATTTCTTTTTTCTTAATGATGTCGAATTCATATGCATTTGTATTTGCAATGACCTAGAACATCACCTTGGTTACAGTCTTGTGACTGATCACTGTGTATAATACGGTTAGTTATAGAAAATGCCAGTGAAAGTTCCAGTAGTTTAAAGGTTTTTTATAGTACAACACTCAGTGATATCAGTTTAAATTGTCGAACGAGTGTTAGTTTCCATGATATGATGCGTACTCTATTAGACTTACATCATACAACGTATTTTATCGATTATTTTAAATACTTAGTACTAAACTTAAGTTAGTAATATGAATAAATTTTCAGTTTCATAAAAGGTATCTTCTAACTAGTTGAATGTTCACATAAGTTAAGTGAACTGTTTTAACTTCGCTTCGAGAATCACGTAGCCTGTTTATTAACAAAAAACGCTCCTATGCATAGGTTAAAGTAATCTTTAAAATAAATTTAATGTAGATAAAAGTGAGCATTCAGCAGGTGATTTGGAAGATAAAGACAACATATGACTGAAGAATCTGGAGTTTCTTTTGTCATATAGCTTCACTTAATAATTTTTTGGAAAAACGTGGTTTCCATGTATGTCAATACCACATTTTCATAAGTCTATCTTTATATAGTATTAGAAACATATTACAGAAAGGATTTGAATTTGGTCATTTCTGTCATTTCTTATAAAACTTGAAACATGTAGGTTTTAAATCGGTGATTTTAAAGTTCTCGATCAATCACCAAAAATACAGAAATAAAACATCTCTAGCCCCTATTTGTCTACTTTTGTTCGTTGACTTTGAAACTTCGTGAGTAGAAATATAAGGCTTTATACGTCTGAACAATAACTTGCCGACTTTGCCACAATTATCCGACTGACTGTCCCATATAACTTGGAAAAACGTTTTACCTTATTTTCTAATAAATTGTTTTAAATTACACTTGTCTAAAATGACATTCCTACATTTCAATATTAACACGCATAAAAACATAGTGTAAACAAAAACATATATTCTCAGAACAGACTTTTTAACAAACAGATACATCATGATGAAATGTGTTTTCGTGATGAATCAGAAATTTGGATCGCTAGCTGTTTATGGTTTAGCTCGTATATACTCCGATTAATAAAACGAAAAAATCTAAACAAAGAAATATTCGATGTCTGGCAAAAAATGTAAAACGAAAACGAGAATGAGCTAATTGCATTACTTTGGGTGTTTCACAGTTCATAAAGTGTTAGGTACTCAAAGTTATTTAAGCTTAGTGAGATATAGGCAAACAATGTATTATGCAAAACTATGACTGTAAGTAAAGATTCAACCGATTCATTGATTATTTTTTAATATCGTCTGTGTAATTTAAACGGAACAGTGCTATTAACTGAAATGTAGTTTCTTTTCCCAAAGTAATACAAATTTATGTTTTGATAATCCACATATTTTTATGCTGGCTTTTAGATTCGTTGTCTTGAACATGAATATATGAAACATTGGAAGCTATACAGAGGTAAGCGGATCGAAAACGTTCCTATCTAATTATTTTATGAACATTTTAGACAAAAGTTTTATTCTATACAAGCCTGTAAAGAAATATTTGCGATGAAATATAAGATCATAAATGTACAGTATTTTACAAAATATTCATTAGTTGCAGAAAGTACTAATATGAACCAACTAATCTGACAGAGATCATGAACCGATTGATGTTAGACCACCACCTTTAGAAACCTGGAAGCACTGAACGGCCCATTTCGTCCTACTGTGGGACTCCTCAGCAGTGCGCATTCACGATCCCGCTCGCATGATTCGAACCCAGGGCCTTCGGTCTCGCGCGCGAACGCCTAACCCCATACTAGTAATCAACATATGGTTACTAGTGACTAGCTTCGTGAGGGAATTCTCGAAGTTCTAGTGAGAAGCCGTGACCAGTCGAGCTAATCCATGTCGGGTAGAGACAGGTATCTACCTCAGTACAACGGAAGTTGGTCGCGCAATTTCGTGGATTGGTTGGGGTTAGACACTATCACCATTGGATGCCGGCTCAGTGGTCTAGTTGGTTAAGTGTTCGCGTGCGAGACCGAAGGCCCTGGGTTCGAATCCCGCGAGCGGGATCGTGGATGCGCACTGCTGAGGAGTCCCACAATAGGACGAAACGGCCGTTCAGTGCTTCCAGGTTTCTAAAGGTGGTGGTCTAACATCAATCGGTTCATGATCTCAATCAAAAACTTAATAATCTCCACAACCCCTATACTAGTAATCTGACAGAGTTACATGTACATACAGTATTTTAAGTTAATGTATGCTTGTTTAGTCTCTATTAATACTTATCATCTTATTGTTTATACGTTTCATTTACTGTTGAGTAATTTTCTATACATTACTAGGAATTAAGACAACGCGACTCGATGTACACTTGTAAAAGGTCCTATACCATTGAATATATATTATTATTGTTATATTTTCACTTTTATGGAACAACAAAAAGTAAGAGCTGATTTGAAGAATTCATAAGTTTAAAACAACTGTGAGAAATTAGTCTATTATAGTCAAACTAAAGTTTAATGTTTAAAAGACCTCTTGCCAAAAATTCTTATCAATAGAGAGTGCATAAAAGAGTAGAAAAAAGACAATTTTTTGTTTCTTAAGTTGCTCATAGTTTAGAAATTACCTGGTTAATAGGTAAGTGGTCAATATATATATGAATGTTTGTAAAAGCATGCGCATAAAGATTTACAAGTAACCGATGGGGTACCATTGTTTACAGGTTATTTTAGATTATCATTTATGTTTTCTTGGTGTAACATTACAAAATTCAAGAGTTCCACCGGGAAGGCTGTGGTTTAATACTAAAAGAATGATATACACTTGCGAAATAATGTAGGCTTTATTTTTAAAATGTTCGTCGGTATGCACCCATATAATTACACATTCCAGTATTGTACTTATCTTGTAAGTATCAAGCTATTTTAGAAATGTATTTACAATTTTTTCTATTTATTCGGTGTTTAATGTCTAACACTTTGCAGTGCTTCATATATGTTCTGTTGATTTCCATTATTTATTTCGGTATATTTTACAAATAACTATCGTTAGGACGAGATATTTTTATGGAGAATATAAAAAATACTAAGCGGAAGAAGTTCCATTTTTGTCCAATGAATAAGTGGAACAAATTTACAATGCACTGTGAGCACGTAAAATACCAAAAGGTAGATTTATTTACGAATTGAGTGAAACCCACTGTTTTTACTTATTAAGTCTCTTTCATTATTGAATACCATAAAGGAGTTCGAAACAAGAGATGCTAGGTTTGAGATTCAAAGGGAATAGAAACACAGATAATAATATACGACTGAAGGGCTTAAAACAAGATTAAATGGTCTTCCTGAGTTCTATTGTAAAACTCTATCGAAAATATAATCAACATTTAAAGTTAAAGACGTTTGAACCATCCGGTTAAAATATCCACATACTAATAGAAAGTCATAATCTCAGTCCAATATCGATTGTCAGTAACAGTTTCCGAAGCAATAAAAAGAAGGTAGCGAAAATTAAAATAATGTGACTATACTCTCATCGATGGTTAACGTCATGGTTTCAAAAGAGAGCTATTTCAAAAAAAGGAAGGCTTTATAAAGTTTTTGACTTAAGAAGAGATTTCATTTATTTAATATATAAGAACGTTTAGAACATTAATAATCTGTTCTGAAACAGCTAACCTGCAACAGCACAAATGTAGATTACCACCTATTTCTGACCTTTATTAAACCAATAGATGTAACTTCACAAGAAATGTCAGACAGTACTCCCATGATTAAAAATCTCCGCAGAAATAATGTCAATTTTTATCACTTTGTAAAGTTTCTCAATAAGGATAAAGTATAATTGGAATAAGAAGATTAGTCATATACTGGTATGAATGAAGCAGCATTCATCTATTATATATATTCTATAAATGTTTGCATCTTATGTCATAAAAGAACATTCGTGTTAAAGAAAATGATAACTAGTAAAGTATGTTAGACCAAAAGTGATGAATAAAAGTTTACTTACCTAAGCTACTGATAAAAATAAATTGTCTACTAATAGATGGGTCCTTTATGTAGGGCATGGGTTAGACAATTAAAACTAGATTTTACCGATTATAAACTTTATATTGACAAATAAGGATGAGGACTAGGTGAGAAAAAATTATTCTTTTTTTCTTTAGATACTACAAGATGTCACTATGGCTTTCCAAAAAGTCTTTCATATCTCACAGGAGTAAAACGTTTTAAAAACATCTCACTAATCTAAAACTACGTTAATGACATTTTTGATAGTCACATTTCATTAGAGATATGAGCAAATATACTTGAAAGGGATTGCTGATAATAACAATGTTATCGATGGTAGTTTGACTGACTTAATCCCAATATATATCACAAAGAACTCATTATTTGATTTTAAAAAATGCTGAATATAATATATGTTCATTCGGAAATCAATGATTGAAGGAATAAGTTTTCAACAGTTGCTTTTCCTAATTATAATAAACAATTTTTTCATTATAACACATTCCAAGACAAGCCTAGACCCTTTAAGCAAGAGTAGTCGGTACGAATATTGCTTTACAATAAATTGAGTATTCTCATTCCTAAATATGATTCTGAATAATGTATACAAATGTACACAGTTACTCTTCATCAACATTGAACGAGTTTTAAAGCCAAATAGAAGTAGTCCAGAAAAGTACATTTAACTTCACTTTTACCGATATTCTACTTATCTCCGTATCTTATCTTTCCCTTCTTGTGCCGGGATAAACTTATTATTCCATAACATGTAATCATCGCAATAATCCTGATAACACATCTACCGTCTTTTATTATATCCAGTAATTTTTCTTGTACTGATTTTATCTAACAATCTAATAAAAATCTTTTTTTACGACAGGATTAACACATACACCTTTTCAATATAGTGAAAACTAACATTTCTTACATAATTACGTCTGTTACCCCTCGTGAAAAAGCATAGGCCACTCACCAGCATTCTCCATTGAACTCTGTCTTGAGCAATCCTTTCTAATTGCTTCCAGTTGTTATTCATCCTTTTGATGTATGCTTCCAATTCTCTACGCAGTGTGTTTTTTGGTCTTCCTCTTTGCTGTTTCCCTCCAGCATTTCGAATTGGCTCTTGATTTGTGATGCAATTTGGTGATTTCCTCAATGTATGTCCTATCCACTTCCAGTGTCCTTTCTTAATTTTCTCTTCAAATGGAAGTTGGTTTGTTCTCTTCAACAGTAGGCTGTTGCTGATGAAATCCGGCCAACAGACACTGGGTATCTTGCGTAGACAATTGTCCATAAATACTTCCACATTTTTTATGATGGTTGTAGTAGTTCTTTAATTATCAGCTCCGACAGTAGAACTGTTTTGGCGTTCGTACTGAAGATTCTGAATTTGATATTGGTTGACGGTTGTTTTGAGTTCCATACGTTCTTCGAATGTGTGAGTGCAGCCCTTGCTTTGCCAATCCTTACATTTACGTTTGCATCGGATCCTCCTTGTTCATCGATGATGCTGTCCAGGTGCGTGAAAGTTTCCATCTCTTCCAGAGTTTCTTCATCAAGTGTGATTGAGTTGGTGTTCTCCGTGTTGTATTTGAGGATCTTGGTTTTCCCCTTGTGTAAGTAAGCAGAGACTGCTGCTACATTAGTAATCTAGAAGAGCTACAAGCGGATTTATTTAACTCATATTTGTCAAGAAATAAACGTTTTTCAATCTTTTGAATTTCGAATCTCTTTTATTTGTATGATATATAGCAACAGGTTATTCAATTCTAATTACATACAAATCCACAATTAGCAGCAGCCAATGGTATGTTTGTCCAATACTTCGTGTTGATAAAATTCTGTAGACTAGGTTGAAATATGCCCGGTAATCTTAATGATTCTAAATTACCTAGATTATGATTTAATGATTAAGGGCTTAATACAATCTATAGAAAGTTTTACACCCGAGTTTCTCTCTAGTTATTACTTGTCAGCAAGAGATTTCTTCAATCCTTTAACATTTGAACCCACAATGCCCAATGAAAAGTTATCAAACCATTTAAAAACAGTTTTAATATTTATTGTTCATTTGAATCATTTGTGAAGATTAGTTCATTTTGAGAATAGTTTACATCTCAGACCGGTATCAGATAAAGAACCACGTGAAATGGGTATGCACTAAACAGTTCTTTCATACTGGCTTATAACTGCTCAGCGGTGTCCATTAATGGCAGCACACAGCATCGATCTAAATGCATAATATTAGTAATCCAGTTGACTGTAATTTATTGACATCGATTTACAAATAAAACCATTCCACTTGGGTTTGATATCACGTAGGTTATGTGTGCTCAATATTGAAAAGTCTCAAATTAAGATTAATCACTGTCCAGGACTACTTACGTTTTTCAATGATCTCTCACATTATGTCTGTTTGTAGTGAAAACTATCTTTAGCTATAAGCAGAGATGGATGACGGCTAGCAGTGCAGTCCAGAATGCGCATTTTGTCCTATTTGAGGCTCGTCAGCCGGATGTACCTGAATCTCAGAGTTGGTGATTACTTCGTAACTCTAACTCAATACCGTTCACTTCAAAGGCCATCGAGTTATCTACTAGTAGCTCTGCTTAAAATACTTATGACTTAAGGCAATATCGAGGCAATCCGCACAAGATTCACATATGTTGATGAGAGACTGGCCGATTGCTATCCTAAACATCAACTGAAAGGTTCAAACAACCAATAAAAGAAATGAATTATCTTCAACCATCTTATCTAGTTGACTTTATACTGAGTAAATTTATAGGACAAATATATACCTATAACTTTATTGTTTTAAATAGTGACTTTTTTGTTTCGTACAAATTAAAATATCTAAATTTTCTTTTTTGGTATTTGTCTCGTAGAAATCCGAGCACGTTCACAAGGTGAATTTTATTGTGATCAAGTTAACAGTGGTAGTAGTGGAAGTGGCAAAAGTGGTGAAGAAAGTATTCAGTTAAGTCAGTGTTCAACAAATATGAACAATTCATCACTTTTATCTAAAAATAAACTAAGCAAATCAACATTAGCTTTAACTGGATTTAATGGATCAGATAATATTCAACCATCCACTACCACTGTCAATACAACTAATTCCTATCAAATTCATTCTCAACATAATAATAATAGCATTTGTGACACAACAAATTATTTACCAACCATAATAGAAAAACGTCCAAAATATTCTTCCTTATTGAATTTAATACGACATAAATCAAAGAAAACGACAAATAATTATTTATTACAAAATGAAAATCGTCCACGTGCTGCTACAACAGCGTCACCTGTAACAACAACTGCGGTAGATCAGAAGCATTCATTCTTACACTTGAATAGACCAAGTAATTTAGATTTAACAACAACTCATATACCATTGAAAAAATCTGCTACTCTATTAACTCATAACAATAATAGCCATTACAATAAGGGGTTAAGTAAATCCAGGAGTAATGCACGTGATTTAGTAACTAATGATGCTAGTTTTAAACAGCAACAGGAAGTTTTATTGAAAAGTTTATGTCAAATAGAAGCTCAAACAGAATATTTATCTGGTACACTGATATGCGAAGTGATTGGAGTCAGTGGCTCAGTCTCCTCGTTATCAAAAGATGTTTTCAGGATATCACTTAAATATGATACACCAGTATTGTCTTCAATATATGAACTAAAAAGTGATAAGGAATTGCCAGATGTTGAATCACTGTATACATCAACTGTTCCTTTAAACCAGAAAGGTGGTTCAAATGATAAATGGACAATTACTGGTCGTCTCTTTTCTTCTTCATCATTTTCTCCCTCCTCTTCTGCACAGATTTCTAATTCGTCGAAATCATCAGCTCACTTCCAAGCAACTTACTTAAATGATGTAAATTTAAAATTTCCTGAACAAAAATGGGATCAAACTAAGCATATTTTCAGTCCAACAATTGGTGATGTATTAACAATAAAAGTGAGATATCAGCATTTATGACTTTTTATGGTATATCTATTCAGTCTCATAGGTTTTTAGTGAATCACAAGTAAACTAGAACTATCAGTTATATTTATTAGCATGTAGTTATATAACAGTCTAAAATGTTCACACTCAATTTTATAGGAATAGCTTTAAAGTACTTTAAAACTTCTCGAAAATTAAGTCGAAATGTTAGTTGTTTAGCTTGTTGATATGTATGTATAAGCAAGTAAAATCTGTCGATTAAGCATTTCTTTCTCAAATATATCAATATTATGCAAATACCACATTGACTTAGTAACAAAAGTCAATTCATAAAATCACCTTGTCTGTAATAAATTTTAACTTACTATTCATAAAATGACAAGCGCTACATAGTATGAAATATAGTTTTTCACAATTAAAATAAAGTGTTAAATATTGTAGTTGAATAGTAATAGCTCTAAAGAACTTTTTCAAGCGATGTGACAGTAAATTCTTTATTATTTTTTATCAGTCTATCTATTTTAAACCATAAGTTTAGAAAGAACAATTTCATACTTACGAGTGTTGATTTTAGTCATTAATTTCAAAGCAAACCTTTCTGGACAACAGTTTTTAACAAAATATCACTAGAAAACTGATTTTCGTCTTCTAAATTGTCAAGTAATCAGAGAAACTAAATGTTTTCGTGATAAAAATGACTAAACTTTCTTTGGTGTACAAGAGGATCTAACTGTGACAACTCAAAAGTTGAGTTTTCTCAACAGGGTTTCACCAAATAGATTTTTCTATTCATTCATAATTACATCTCTTTAACATTGTACGTGATAAAAGAATAAATGTAGTCAATGACGTATTGCTAATTATTCAGCGTGAACTTACAGGTGTCTCTAAGTAATTTATTTTGGACATTGTGGATACTTTGGCTAGTTATTTTTTTCATTTCTTTTTATGAATTCTTTCTAAGGTAACTGTTTTCTTTAGATCTTGAAACGGGTCTGTTGACTAGTCTAGCCCTAATCATACATATAAACTGTAGTTGATAATGAAACTAGACGACTTAACCAAAGTTCAAAATCTAGGAAGTTCAAGATTTTTCATTGTAAAAAGCCATGGAATCATAGGATTTTTCCTGCTTTTTCAATTTTTAAACATTTTTCACCTACATGTAACTTCAAACAAAGGCATTAAAAGGTCTGTACCGTTACTAAAATTTTCAAAACTTAGTGGCTAAGTGATTTCATTATGAAGAAATGCTTTAAATCAACGTGAATGACATTCATTCATGCTTTTGTTGAATGAATTACGAAGAGATGTTTGAAAAAATCAATCACTCTCTGCCTGTTATCTAGAGTTTTAGTAGCTAAAGAAATCAAACATAAAACTTGGACTGAAAAATTAAGTGTATAAGTGTGTGATGATAATCAGTTATGCTAATCAATAAAGAAAAACAGCACCCTTGTAAAAATTTTCATATATCTTGAATATTATGACTTTTTAAAGATAAGTGTGGTCAAGATATAATCACATCTGAGGTTGTTGTACCAAAAAAGTTCAAAGGTATTGTCCTTGATCTTATCTTTTCCTATCCACTGGTAAAGCACTTAAATTGTATAATCATTTAAAATAGTGAATATTAAGGTGAAATCTTGTAAAGAAAAAAAATAACGGTGTGCTAGAAATTAAAATTGTACGCTTTCACAAGGTGAGTTGGGAATGACGATAAATAGTTTTCGTTACCTATTTAATGAATGTTGACGACTAGAAAATATATCAGGTATTTCCGTGTCACAACCAGTTTCAGTCGTTCTTAATAATTATTACATAGTGCATTTTTACGATGGCTAGCGTAAGAAAGTACAAATAAGAGAAATATTCAGTGTATAAAATAAGATTTAGGTGTTACATGTTGAAAAATTATTTTCAACACAAATTCCTATCTTTTGCATTACTTTAGAAGTCGAGAAGAACTGGATAGTTGTTTTACTGAAATTTGGGAATAGTAGGCAGTGTAGGTAGACTACTTGCAGAATCGTTAGTTCTCTTGAAGACCATAGTATTAACTAACCATTCGCTAATAATTCAATATTCATGTTCCTCTGTATTCCTCGCGATATACCTTGGTCCTCATTTATGTTGTTTGTAATTTACGCTTCTACTGTTCATACGTTAACCTACAGGTCATCATTCGTTAATCAATACTTAGTTAAACTTGAATAGTTAGTTTTCAGTTTAGTTATGGTTTTCATCATAGAGCGTTAACAGTTTAGGAAACTTGGAAAACGGCTAAGCAGTGAATTAATCAAAAATGTGATGAAAACTGTCTTCAATTTGCTTTAATAATTCTCATAAATCGCTGACGTGATGTATTCACTATCATTTTGAGTAAAAATAATTTACTAAAAATATGACGATATAACTGAAACATAGTGAATAATGGAGACAAATCAGTATAATACAGTCACATTGATTTGTAATTTGTCATAATAAATGTGTTAACTGTGAATTTTAATAGTTTCCAGCACAAATTTTAGTTAATATTAAATCATTTGTATCTTAAGATTATTTTTAAAAGTTCAAAAGACTATAATATAAATGATTTAATAAGGTTTTATGATCTCCAATCATGATATCTATAATTTCTTTCAATCTTTCCTCCAGAATAAACTGAATAATCAAAAAACAGACTGAACTTTTATCTACTTACATAAACAATAGATCAGATATTAAAGCGTTTTTAATCTGTTTACTCATTTAGGGTACCTAATCAAATAAAAACAACTAATGCATTTAGCTCTGGTAACCAAAATATCAATAAACTGACAACATCAATTTCGGTCATTGATGAAGTTACCGATTCATTCATGTACTTTGAATATATAGTCTAAACGTATGAGGGGATGATAGTTGCATGACTATGAAATAATCTAATCCTTCTTTTTTTTACAAAAGAAGTTGATTAAAATCAAACGTCAAAATTAATGAATATATTACCATATGAATGTGCAGATTTCACGTTAAATATTAGTGAATACTTCATTAATCTTGTTTTTTGTTTAGTTAATGGAATACTTGGACTCCTCTCAGCTATGTGAATAATTTATTTTCTAAACTATGTTTTTAATTACTTGGAATTTTTTCATTTCATAAATTAGCATGTGGATATGAATCAGTTGATAAGCATGATAATGATACTTTTATTGTAAAAAAATGTAATAGTTTAGTGATACAAAAACGCTTTAAGTAAATTATTTTGGACCCTCAGGTAACTACTTTATAATTAATGTACAATGAGAAAAAGCACTTTAAATGGGATGTTTACCTTAAAAAAACAAAACACGAAAAAGTTTGGCTCAAAGTCCAGTACATCAACATATGCTTGATAAATTTCATTGGGATATTATTGTACAATCACATTGAAGGGGGTTTATAACGACAGTATAAAATACCATGAAACGCTGTTTAACACGATTTGACATAAATAAATGTTTGATTGTTTTGGACTATTGTAAAGCCATATCATCACTACACGAGTATTCATTACATCCGTAAAGCTATTTGATAAATGAATGAAACAGCTTTAATATGTCACCCAGTCTAAACTCGTTTGCCGTTTGCTCATTGTAACAGTTCAAACTGGACTGTTTCAATGAAAAGTCATAAGTTATATCACTCCAGCAGTTCCATAAAAAGTTAGTGATAGTGTAAATACTATATGATTTTGTAAATTGAGCTAGGAGAATCATTCTATGTACTTAAGTCTAGAAGACTCAAGGTTTTTCTAGCTTTTGTTGGTATAACACTATTGTTATTATTATTATTATTATTATTATTATTATTATTATTATTATTATATTCTTTCTTATGATATTATATGCAGGTAGATTTCATGCGACGGTTCGGAAAACCAGAAACTCTTATACAACAGGCATGTGATATATTAAAACTAATCAATTTGAAAGGTCATCATATATCAGTCGGACTAAAAAATTTCACTGATCTCCAATTTCATTTTATTCTCAAATGGTGGTGAGTTCACAAAACACCTGTTCATCATGTTACATTCTCATTTTATAATTTGTAAGTTACTCTTTTCAGTATTCATAGTTAGTATTCCTGAAAGACTGACACTAGAGAAGAGGCTGCTGATTATCATGAAGCATTTGACATTTGTTTAGTCCTAGTTTTTGTCTCTTCAACGGCCTTGAATCACAATCTCGCCAAGGACCGATCCCGATATTTTTGAGCCTCATCACTTGCGTCTTATCTTCGTATCTCAATGTGAATTGAATAGCCAATACTAGCAAATCTACTTAATACACGACTTAGCGGAAATATCATCTGAAGTTACCGGTAACTAACATGATCGAAATCCACTAGCTAAGACTTTTTGCCTGAAAAGTCAAAAAATAAATTATCGTAAATGTAATTCCAACAGACGATAACCCAAAGTTACGTATTGGAAGATGTAATTTAAACTTAAACGATGTTTACTACTTGGAATGAGTAATTAATTTTGTTTATTTATTTATTTGAAAACATGAATATTGGTACAAAGGGGCACCGAATACATATGCGCCACACAACTCACTTGATGTGCATGTGGGCTGTGATACTGTCGGGGTGCCCAGACCGAAGCAGCAGGTTTCCTTAAAAGGCCACTCCGACCTAAAAGTTTTATCCACAAGGAAGTGGAGCAAAGTAAGGAAATGTAGTCCCATGGTAGCCGGTAACCAATAATTGGTTCATACGCCATGCATTTCCTCAGCATCCTGGAGCCCATGTACACCATTGGTTTGGAATCAGGGTTTTTCAACTCCCCTAGATGGATCCTTCATATCGATCAACACGGTTAAGCTGCCGAACATTCGATTTTTTCCTTTCAATTTCGTAAACAGCACCACCTCCACGAGAAGGCAGAAAGTATGATATAATTTCATTCGAAGTGTATAAAATATTGTGATAAAAAAATAAACTGTACAACATCTCATGTAAACACGTGAATAGTATTTTTAGCGATTTTTGTTTTCTCTAGTTTAAACACAACCAAGCATCCCAATTGTGAGAACATAGCAGCATCTATTTGAACAGTGAATCTTCACAATTGATTGGTCACCGGGTTGTGATCAATGTCATGTGTGTCAAGTTCATATTAGTGAAGCTGGGTGACACGGGATCGAATCTGTCAGGAAGCACCAGTTCCCTCAAGATTACATGTACACATTGCTGACTAGTGCCAAGTAGCACGAAACCCGGGTTCAGGGTTTCCTGTTGACTACCTCCAACCAATATCTAATCAGCGAATCTTCAATTTAAAAAAAATGTAGATTGTGTGGAGTATCAATATATATATATATATATATATATATATATATATATATATATATATATATATATATATTATAACAGAATGTTTAGAGTACAGCATCATCTGAATCCTACTTCCTAAAATATAATGGCAATCCAATCCCTTTTTGTTTAGGGCATAAAATAAATTATTTGCATAACTTCATCCTCTCTACATAGTAGTTCGACTATTTCTTCAGTTTAGTTGGATATTAGAAGAATGATTTTAGTTTCTATTCAATTATTTATTTCCTGTTTCATCTCACTAACATTCGGTTAAGAGCACGCGATTTAATGAAGCTTTTACAACACAAGTTGATATGGATTTGAGGCCAATTGGCAAATCAATTCAGTAAGGCTGGCAAATAGACCTTAGTGACAAGTTAGAAGTAGCACCAAATCTATGATCATGTTTTCCTGCCGATTAGCTCCAGACACCTGACATCAAAACATGATACATACGATACTGAGTACCTTAATCCAACGGCCGCATTTTCGCGTTGATTTATAAAATTCGGTTAGGACTAAACATTAGTTAATCATAAAATTAGTTACCACTCAATAGTCTGTAAGCGTAAATGTAGAGTTAGAATTATTATTATTAATGGCTTTATTCAATCAATTACATAAGAGTAGTGGATAATGAACTTTTGTTTTTCGTTCTCACTGTTTTTACTGACTTGCTGGAAAAAATCTATTCATTCATATAAATTGTTACCACAGATATTAATAATAATAGTTATAATTCCTTTAAAATATATTAACTCGTAAATTTTCTGGGTATTTGTTTAATGAAACATGTCTTTTGAATTAAATTACATTTTTTAGTAATTTACATATTTGTTTAGCTAAAAATGTCAACTATCACGTGATTTGAACTGTAGGCACCGAATAAAATTTGTCTGTTTGTACTGTTGCGTTACTCTAACAAAAGTACTTTAAAAATTAAAATACATTTTACTGATTAAATATAAACTAGAACTATGAGCTAAAATTTCTGTTTCTTATAATGGAATGTAATATTCCATTGAAGTTACTGATAGATCAACTAAACCCGACCTTTGAAAAATTTAAACCTACAGTTAGCTCATAAAATTAGAAACAAGGTTTGAAATCAGTGATTCGCATTGTATAAAATGGCTGTGTTATAATTCTCTCTTATTACAACCCAGCTATTCCTAATGCTTAGTATTCTTGGACATTAATTCACTCAACAAGTCCCCAAATCAGAACACAGTTGAAAAGGAAAGAGATTATATTCCAAAAAATAAGGGTAGATGGTAGTAAGAAGAGCAATAAGAAAAACGTTAGTATATTTATAGTTTTTACATGAGAAGATTCTAGTGTTCTCCAAGTATCGTCTAGCGCTGATTGGATAAGAATTAGCAAATCATCGTTCACCGACTCAATTGTGCATGGAACATGCTTTAACCCAATCTATTTCTCGCTAACAGGCTGTTACTAAATGCACAGTCATAGAGTTGCTATAATAGGTATAAAAGTATCCGCAGGAAGAATTACGAAGCCGATCTGTTTGGTTCCATAAATCAATAAAGGAAGTGTCAACTTTATTGAACGAAATTAAGCTCTTGTTACTGTTGCGATAAGAGTAATTCTTGAATACAACTTAAAAATTGTGAAAACATAAGCTATTGTTTTAAATTCAGTACTACTGAATCTGATCTAAAAAGCATGACAATAATATTGGTCTAGACTAATTGGAAATCTAATATATCTAGTTGGCAGGTATCTGACAAAGTTTCAGTAATGTTAAAGAAACCTGATTTAGTTATCAACAATATAAGTCACCTGTAAATAGATAGTTACATTTTAAAGTACTTCAACCAAGAGTGACATGACATCATTTATTTCACACTTTATATCCCTTAATTTCATTCAGTCCTATTATATTCTATGTTCATCATGTTTACTTAATGATATGTGGGGGAGAATGATAATGATTGGTTGTCTGCTTAGTCAGACATGTAGATAGTTTGATAAGTGTCAGATGAGTTATATATTCCCCTATCCTTAATATTATTTCTTACTTATTATTGATTGTTCATTGCTGTTTTGGTCAGGCTAATCATGCGTTCTTGATCTGAGTTGTGTTGAAGTCCTGTAGAATAGACACTGGGAGAGAACCTATTGTAGATATTCGTCTAAGGTAAATTAACGTCCCATACGTGTAAACATGGAAACCCAACCGTTATAACATTAGACGAAGTAATACCGAGCGTTATAACAGTTAACGTTTTCTGTCTGTGTATGTTCAATACTATAATATGATTGGAAATTATGTTACACCTTAATGAATTGTTTTTCTTTCAATCACTTAGCCCATTAGCTGATACTAAAGATGATCGGATGTTGTTTTACAATTTATCAACTATTCAATTAAACAATTTCCTAGATGAACAAAGACAAAGAACTTCAAGTGTTAAAATGATATTAGATGAAGGAGAGATAAATAATTATTCATCACCCAAAATGGATTATTCTAATATTAAACGATATCATACAAATTTAATATCATCTGAATTCGATAATAGATATAATGAACCACAACAACTTCGTCATCATTATCATCATCATCATCATCATCAACAACAACAATTAACTAATTTAATAAAAACTGAGACATGTTCCAGTGAGTTTATTATTCCACAAGATAATTCAGATTCTAGTGATTTAGAAAATAAAGGAAGTGTAACAATCCTAACAGTCCGGTCTAATAGAAGGACCCCTAGTCGGTATGGTGAACAGAATAAATGTCACTCAAAACTTCCGAAGTGGATTTCTTTGCCAGTAAGTTGATTGCATATATATATATAATTTTAGCGAAATTTTAGTTTCAAAAGCTATTTAATGGTGATTTTAACTGGTATAATTTGATAAACTATCTTGATTGCATGAGATGGTAACAGCTTTCACACATAAATATGTTTCAATAACTGTGGTCAGCTTCCAGAAAAATCCAATGAGGATGTGTCATCACATCACGAGGAACCTTTCGAAATTTCGAAAAATTATTTTTTATGGTATTGATCACACCTTACGTTCGTGAATATCAACGAGGTTGGAAAAGAATAATGTCGATTTTGATTACCACTAAACTGATTGCCGTTTCTTTCCAATCGGGGTTTGCTCAGAGTGTTCATCCTTGGATCCTCATCCCAGAATCGAACCGGTGACCTTCGGTCTCATTCCTGAACACCAGACCTCTGAACCGGTATCAAACTATTGAAGTTAAAATGTTGGTTTCCAATTCATTGGTCTGGAGGTAAACCGTTCAAGCGCGAGACTGAAGGTCCCCAATTCGATCCCCAGATGCAGGGTCAAGGATACACACTACATAAAGACCCCTGTTAGGAAGAACTAGTCGTCCAGTTCATCCAAGTTTTTTTTCGTAGTCTAATTAAGGTCATTTCGTGATTTAAACGGTGGAAATAACACTATTTTCACAAATCTTCTACAGGTTGTTAAAATCCTGACAACGGTATGTTAAAAAACAAACCATTAGTCAACTGTTCGATGCGATAATTTTTCTAAACAAATCATTTATCATGGGATCTATGTGAAACAGAATAGTTTGAATCGTTTCATGGATATGCATTACTTTACGCTGTCACATTTTATGACATTATTGAAGAAAACAATTGACAAAGAAAATAGATCTAAAAGAAGAAAATGAACAACGCGATCTTCAATAAGCAATGTTGTTTAGAGCATCTGAACACAGACCAATGATAACCATATCCGTTCTATTGCAATTGGTATTTAGTAATGTTAACCACGTTTTTTCAACTCATATGGTACATTTCAAGAACTGCAGCTGGAACATACTTTTAGACATGAATAACACCAGCTTCCTGAACAGATTAGTTTTAACGCTAACTACTCTTAATTTTTGTGAATATAATTACAGACTACTCATTATCGCTTGTTAGAGTAGATCATATAATCCAGAAAGCTCACTGACAATCAGGTTAAGATGTAACTGACGTATTTCTAAATGGAAAGCCACATCCTCCTCCTCCTCCTCCAATAGACGGCTTCATTACTCAAATACAGATGCTCAATACACAGCCACTGTCTTTGTAGACAGTTATTCGTCTAAATGGGCTGATAAGCTACGTTATTTCTAACTGATTAACAGTAATTTTTGTGCCTATCGTATAATAAACACATTGGATGATTAATTAACTTCAACTAACTAACAAGCGAAGCTACTAAAGGCTTCGATTAGAAAAAAAGTAACATTATTGTTTAAACTAAATCAACTTCCATGATATACAAAATTAACGTATGGTTGATCAGTTTCATCTCATCTTGTTTGATATGAATCTACAAATGCGAACGTACAGCATAAGTAAATGATTTAGTCAATAGAATTTCCTCTCTGAATTATCTGTATTTAGATTCACTGACACAATGGGTTACTTTAGTTATCTGTAACATCATGACTTCATAGATTTTAATTTACTTATTCATGTATTATTCACATAACCAATTATGATATTTAAAATAACTGTAAAATATGTGTTATTACAATTGCTACTTTATTGTTCAAAATCTCTATTTTCCAAATTTATATTAATAGGATCTTGAAACCCATGAGCTGAGTGAACCAGAATTGATGTCACCAGAAATCAGAATAATTACTGTACGTACTCATCAGAATCACGAAAACAGAGGTCATCAAAATAACTATGTTGATATTGCAGACACCAACATTATTAATACTACAAATAGTCATAATAATTATTATGATAACGTAAGTGAACAGAGGAAGTTGTATGACCTTATTCATATTTTTTCGAAGTTAAATTACATAACAAACTGAGAACCATTGAAAAATAGATAGCACACGGCAGTTTTATTTTCTTAGTTTGCATCCTTAAAGTACTTTGTACACGTGTTCCTCCAAACAGGTGATTGCTCTCACAATTTTCTAATAGCAATGTTTCATTTTTGTCAAAGGTTAGCCAGCTGATATAGGTTGATGATGACGACCACTTTTTCTAAGTAAACCATCATGATCCATACTTATTTAAATGGTTGAAACAGTCATTGTTCTCTTTTCGCTTTTCAAAACTTAGATGGACAATCATACCTATATTTCCGAATCAAATACAGAAGACATAGAACTAGCGCAAGAAAGACAAATAGAACAACCAGTACCTATCAACGATAAAACATCTGTGAAAATCAATACAATACAAACAGCAGAATCGATATTGTTGATATCAAAACCTACAAATAACCAATTATCTGAACATTTAAGTAAATTAAAAGACAAAGTTGATATTAAAATAAGAATACATGATGATCCTACAGGACTACTCAAAGTAAGAGAGATTAATTTTTTTTTCATCATTTACCTTTAACACACTGACAATTATATTGAAGTAAAGTTACTTTTTAGATGGTATCGCCCTTTAGTTACTAATTATTCTATTGATAACACTTAATGTCCAATTACAATATCAACTGTTGTCTATTATTATTATTATTACTATTATTATTATTATTATTATTATTATTATTATTATTATTATTATTAATGGCTTTATTCAATATTATATTTTGGTACAATATAGAATGGATAAATCACTTGCTTCGACAAAAATCTACTCGCTGAGTGATAAATATTTCAATTCATTTTTAACATTGTTATTAATAACAAAGCCTTGAGATGTGAATTTACCCATGTATCGTATTCACTAGAATAATGATGATGAGGGAGGTTAGATTATGGGAATTGTTTTACAATAACCCAGATTATAGTCATAAACTGGTGAAGTTAGGCGTGAATTTATTACTACACAGGCATGTACCCTGAAACATTGCTGGTATTTTATTATTATTATTATTATTATTATTATTAGATTTATAAGCTCTTAGATAAATAGAGCCCTGTCTACATATTATTTGTTGTTATACACCATTATACGTTTCCAAACAAATAAGATTGCGAAGATATCTGTGATAGTGACTAAGGTCAGTGGTTGGAAACTCCAGGCTGCAAGTCTCAGATGTATCCACAACGGCTCAGGTGAACTCTTTAACCCCTTTCAAGCTTGGACACCAGTATACCTTCACACATACCGTTCCATTTTGTCCTTTTGAAGCATATTCTCTATGTCCAGTATTTCTTATTATCATTGCTACCACATCATACCTATCTCTTTTGTAATTCATCTCATTGTGCTTATGTAAAATAGGTAACTTGGGCCAAGGCATAACAGTGCCAGGTTTTACCTTGATGATTATGAATTAACTAGGTGACGGTAGATGATTGCCTAGCTGTACAGGGAATTAGTTAAGACAGGCTAATACTCACTGCAAACTTATGACATTTTACTGTAATACTGTCAAACCGTTATTTTATAAGCACACATTCTTGAAAGTGTGAGTGAAAAATGAATTATATCACATCGGTATGATAATTCACAAAACATGTAGTTGCATTTTTACAATTGTAAATATATATATATATATATATATAGCAGTTGTACATATAATTAACAGTTATCACAAATAATAGCCGCCTATTTGTTCAATGTTTACTTCAAATAAATATATGCTGTTACTTTTTTCTAAATATGAGACATCAAAGAAACAATTTGCCTTAAAATCACAACAATATAAAACAAGCGACAAAAATAACAAAATGTTTCAATATGAAATTTTCTATTTTTTTTTCATTTCTTTACGTATTTTTGAAGATTTTTCTTTGAAACTGTATTTATAGAAATTACCAATTTTAACAATGAAATAAAAACTCATAATTATTTGAGCTTAATTTATAAAATACACTTTTTATTCTGTTTAAATTTAGTTGTTTTCTGTTGTTGTTGTTGATGAAATAAATCTAAAATCTGAACACACAACTATAAATCATTCTAAGGACAATGATCGTAAACTATACATTATGAAGTATTTCATAATGTTTACCAAAAATCATTTTATGTTTACTATCAATAATTGATTGTACATTAAAATGGATACTGATCATGTTAGTCAAAACAGTAATGAAACTTTAAGGATCAAAGTATTCAGCTAAAAGAACTTAACATCATTAAACATTTATTTAAGCTACATATATTTAATATTTCAATAACTCTTTCATTGATGACTATGTGTATTTAAAATTTCTCCTAAACCAAAAAAAAAAAAAGAAAATGCTTGAATACACAACCAAATATTTTTTTATAATTATACGATATTTGTTTTTACTGACTGTTTTAGGAAATGTATTACTATCTTTTAAGAATTATAGAGTTTACATTGATTAGATTATGGAATTTGTATATATTGTTATATCCAGACGAGAAATATGAATGGTAACTTTTGAAAACTATTTATGGAGTAATACGATATATATATTTTTACTGTTTAATTGTTAAGTAGCTAAACAATGCATAATCATGTTCCTCTTATTATAAGCTTTATTTTGACCCATAAACTATTATTATACGATTTACCGTTTTTTAGTTCTGCTCAGTCTATTAATTAGTCTTCAACATTCACAGCCACTTTTGACTAGATCTTGTACAAATGTTATTTTCTATTTTATGTTATGATTTGGTCCGTTTGGTTTCTGTATAAACCCAGTATGCTTGAAATACAGGATTCATGTCACAGAGACTGAGATTGATGTTCTGGACTTAAGAGGCAAGGCTAGGCAGGATACAGAACCAATATGGACTGTATACTGCTCGTACGGGTTTTATAGGTCATTGATCTGGTCGATAAGTCACTGTTCTCTAATTGGCGGTGTCATTACGTTACATGTTAATAGGGCAAAGGGCCACATGTTATAACATGCGTATATATATATGCTTTTTTTGAATGAACAGACTGATGTATTTTAAAAATAATATAAATTTGTACTCTGTAGTGTCACAACTAGATCTACAAGGTAATAAATAGCTTAGTAGTTGAAATGGTTCGATATACATTGATTAAAACTCTACTTCACCAAAAATCTGTTTTATTAGACAAATAGTACTTATCAATAAACCTTAGAAAATGTGGTTCAAAGCAGATTACTTCAGTCTGGTAAATGAATTAAAATGGAATGTATTGCACTTAATATTCATCAAGAATTGCAATAAATTTACAATAATATGGAACATTTTTAAGCCATTAAAGTATTTATCTTGTCATTCAGATGTTCAATTATAAATAAATTATTTAAATCTACTGAAATAATATTAACAATAAATTGTTCTTGTCTTTCTAAAATACAAAGTCACATTATTGATGGAAGATGAAAATGACTTAAAATTTTATTATATTTTGATTATAATTGTTATTTCTTACCGGTATTATTCAATTAAAATTAATGATTATCAATTACATCAATTAAATTTTAGGATTTAGATATGGCTATTACAAACCTTGTTACACAATTAGAGAACAATTCACGTTGGTTTAATCAACTTTACGTTTCAAATAAAGCTCAAAATCCGAAGTCCATTATTTCTTCACCAGTAAAACAAATGGAGAAAAATATTGACGAAAAAAACACTCTAAAATCCTTATGGGAATCATTGGCATTTTTAGATGAACCAGAAAAATCGTTTGATGGTTATATTGAAGACGGATCAACATCATCTATATCAGGTTCTTCCCATTCAGTTAGAGTTTTTGAAAAGACAGATATTTATGCATGTGATAGTGATCAGATTATCAAAACTACGGGTTGGAGACAATTAGATTTAGCATTGATATGGCATTTGAACTATACCATACGTTTACTTGACAAAGTGTATCCTGATCACTTGTATGTAAGCAGCTCACAAACATTATTATCAGCTCAGTCGTCTGTTTCTGATGTTTCTGACAAAACAATAAACTATACACACAATGGATCATTGAGTTCAGTGCGTAACTCAGTTCATTCAGCTTGGTCTACTTTGCCTTTATTAGAGCAGGTCAGTAATATTTTTAAACTATGATAACCATCTATATTTAATTTTTAGGTATATTACTACTTTCAATATTAGGTCCTTGTCTTCGTGGCTCTATCGTACATCCAAGAAAACAATAATATACACTAAGTAATTAACAGTTGTCAAATTGGTCACGTAGGTCAACTAATTTGTTTGATGCGCTGTCCATTTGACAGAAATGAAAAAATCGCCTTAAATTGTGAACAATCTTTATCTAGAAACCTTCAATTTGGACTTTTCAAACTGTATTGATACTAATATGATGGTCCTAACTAAAAAATGTGCCCGAAATATTCGAAACAAATATAAATTTACACCTAAAACGTATCTATCATAAGAAAGTAAAAATGCTGATCACAATTTTTCAAAACCTAATATACATGATAAAAAACTGATTTATGTATCGGGCCGACTGTCAATTATTTCATGTATCATTGTTCTATCGGTTACGTTTGATGCTCCTTCCAACTCACCGGTCCACAACTTAGCGTGAAGCGTTCCATATTTTCTCAAGATTAGACTTTCCATCTCAGAGAGCAATACACCAACGAAAATATTCAGCTTAACTGCAAATCTCCACTATTTCGTATTGATATATATGTGAAATTACTTTTTTTAAATTACAATGATTTTTACGTGTGATTTAGATTTTTGTTTTATCTCTTTACCTAAATTATTGCTCTCATATTGAGCAACAAAAATACACAAACATGCATACAAATACACTAGGCAAACATATACGTGAAAACAGTGCACCATCTGTTACGCATTCTCTATGGTCGAAATCAATAATTCCATGTAATGCAACTAATTTGTTGTTGTTTGTCTTTACAACGACAAATGTAAACAATGAGAGATTAAAATTGACAGTGAGAAATATATATATATATATATATATATATATATATATATATATATATATATATATATATATATATATATATATATATATATTATTACATTTGATTTAAGTATAAATAATCAATAGGTGATTACTAAAAAAGGATCATATTTCATACTGGACTGCATTTATTTATAAGAATCTAAAAAAACACAATATACTTAGAAAGGTTACTGACGAACGTTAGTTGAACTTGTTTTTAGAACAAGTGAATGGCTTCAACATATTTATATTCTTTATAGTATACAGTTTAAGTAACCCAATAATATATGGGATGTAAAATGATCAAAAAAGGCTTTTATCATTTCTTGATTTGAAAATTGAGAAACTTCAACTTCAAAGGTTAACTATACACATAGATTGCTTGTATTTCATCATAGATGAACTGAACTTATTTCTTGGGTACTCTGGGACTGACGATTGAGGATCTTTGAGCTTAAGCTTAACATAATGATAAAAGGGGAAAATTACTGATAAAGGCCTGAAACACAAGTAGTTTAATAATAATAATAATAATAACAATAATAATAATAATAATAATTTATATTCTGAAAATAATAATTACAGAATTCACGCCAGTTTACAGGCATGATCAATTTGATATAAATAGTAACGTTAGACGTGCAGAACAAACATGTGATAAAAGAAAATTTTAAGTATACTAGTTCAGTAGTTGTTTAGGTAGTACATATATTACAACGATTCAATGCATTTTCAGAGGAGCAGTATGCATCGATGCAACGAACAAATAATGGGAGTGATTTTATCGTGCGGATAGATTGTGGTGCTTAGGATATTCGTTAGTCAACAAAAGCTATGAATTCCTCCTGGGTGTTACATCAACTGACATCATAGTAGATTTGAGAAAGGATATATTCTCTTCGATTACGGCACAGGCATCAGTCTATAAAGTAGTCTGTTATTATTATACGCCTTTGTAAAGTAACTGATTGTTGGAAAACGTAGCCCTCATTGTTTACAATGGCACAGAAGCATTCGCATATTTATTTTTCTCCAAATCTTGAGTACAATACTATTCCATACATGACATTATTCGATTTCACTCTCTCTTTGTGCGTGACATTATGTTTAGTTTATCACAACGATTTATATTGTTATTACTGCTTGAACAATCTTTATGTAGGTATAGTGGTCAAAGAAACTCCGCCTGAGGCCCTTCCGGGGAATACTGCCGGTCCCAAGCCCGGGTAAAGGAGGAGGGTTGGGCATAGTGTTAGCGGCCCAATTCCGTTGGAAAATAACTCGCTAAAAAAACGCTAACCAGAAAAAAATATTCATACCATTTAAACTCTGCCCTGGAAGGTAGGTCTTTATTTAGAAGAGTAATGATGCCTCATGATGAAAGCCAAGTTACTTCGAAAGTCACGAGGCTGATGCCCCTTATGACAACCAGATCAATCATTTATTTAGGTATATAGGATGCTCGTACAGTGTGGGAGATCGGGAGAGTCTTCCGAATTGCTGCGGAAATGAGGAGATACAACCCAAGAGGTGCGTGGGATCAGTGAAACACATTGGACGCAAGTTGGACAACAACGACTAGTTTCAGGGGAGCTTCTGTTATACTCCGGTCATGAAGAAGAAAATGCTCCACATACACAAGGAGTCGCATTGATGCTGTCCAAACAGGCACAAAAGGCACTTATAGGATGGGAATCTCATGGACCAAGGATCATCAAAGCCTCCTTCAAAACAAAGAAAAATGGCATTTCAATGAACATCATTCAATGCTATGCTCCTACCAACGATTACAATGAAGACGCTAAAGATCAATTCTACAATAGGCTGCAGTCCATTGTCGAGAAGTGCCCAACAAAGGACCTGACCATTCTGATGGGAGATTTCAATGCCAAGGTTGGAACGGACAATACTGGATATGAAGACATCATGGGACGACACGGACTGGGATAAAGTAACGAAAATGGTGAGAGATTTGTAAACCTATGTGCCTTCAATAAACTAGTCATAGGCGGCACCATATTCCCACATAAACACATTCACAAAACCACATGGACTTCACCGGATCACACTACGCAAGACCAAATTGACCATATCTGCATCAGTAAAAAGTTCAGGAGGACGGTTGAGGATGTGAGAACCAAAAGAGGAGCTGATATAGCATCTGATCATCACTTGCTGGTCGCCAAGATGAAATTGAAACTCAAGAAGCACTGGACAATGGGGCGGACAATATCACAAAAGTTCAATACGGCCTTTCTTCAGGATACTAACAAACTCAACGAATTCAAGGTAGTCCTCAGCAATAGGTTCCAGGCCTTTCATGATGTACTCAATGGAGAAGGAACTACTGTGGAGAGCAACTGGAAGGGGATCAAAGAGGCAATCACTTCAACATGTCATGAGGTCCTGGGTCACAAGAAGCACCATCACAAGGAATGGATCACTGTTAATACACTGGATAAGATTCAAGAAAGGAGGAACAAGAAGGCAGCAATCAATACCAGCCGAACAAGAGCAGAAAAAGCCAGGGTACAAGCTAAATACACAGAATTAAACAAGCAAGTGAAGAGGAGCCTCAGAACCGACAAACGTAAATATGTGGAAGATTTAGCAACGATGGTGGAAAAGGCTGTAAGAGAAGGAAACATGAGACAACTGTATGACACGACAAAGAAACTCTCTGGAAATCGCCGCAAACCAGAACGAAAAGTGAAAAGCAAGGAAGGCGAGGTAATCACCAACATTGACGAGCAACGAAACAGGTGGGTAGAACACTTCAAAGAACTCTTGAATCGACCAGCTCCACTGAACCCACCCAACATCGGAGCAGCACCCACGGACCTCCCAATCAATGTTGGCCCACCAACAATTGAAGAAATCAGCATGGCCATCAGACAAATCAAGAGTGGCAAAGCAGCAGGACCGGACAACATCCCAGCAGAGGCAGTAAAAGCAGACGTAGCTGCAACTGCAAGGATACTCCACATTCTCTTCAATAAGATTTGGAATGAGGAACAAGTACCAACAGACTGGAAAGAAGGACTTCTAATCAAAATACCGAAGAAAGGCGATCTCAGCAAGTGTGATAACTACAGGGGCATCACTCTTCTCTCAGTACCAGGAAAAGTCTTCAACAGGGTATTGTTAAACAGGATGAAGGACTGCGTAGACGCCCAACTTCGTGACCGACAGGCAGGATTCCGTAAGGATAGATCGTGTACAGACCAAATCGCAACTGTACGGATCATTGTGGAACAATCAATTGAATGGAATTCATCACTCTACATCAACTTCATTGACTACGAGAAAGCGTTTGATAGCGTGGACAGAACAACACTATGGAAACTTCTTCGACACTATGGCGTGCCTCAGATGATAGTCAATATAATACAGAACTCATATGATGGATTAAACTGCAAAATCGTGCATGGAGGACAGTTGACAAAGTCGTTCGAAGTGAAGACCGGTGTTAGGCAAGGTTGCTTACTCTCACCCTTTCTCTTTCTCCTGGTGATCGACTGGATCATGAAGACGTCAACATCTGAAGGGAAGCACGGGATACAATGGACATCTAAGATGCAGTTGGACGATCTAGACTTCGCATATGATCTGGCCCTTCTATCCCACACGCAACAACAAATGCAGGAGAAGACGAACAGTGTGGCAGCAGCCTCAGCAGCAGTAGGTTTCAATATACACAAAGGGAAAAGCAGGATTCTCCGATACAACACAGAATGCACCAATCCAACCACAATCGACGGAGAAGATTTGGAAGATGTAAAAACCTTTACGTATTTGGGCAGCATCATTGATGAACAGGGTGGATCTGATGCAGATGTGAAGGCGCGGATCGGCAAAGCCAGAGCAGCGTATTTACAACTGAGGAACATCTGGGACTCAAAATAACTGTCTGTCAACCAACACCAAGGTCAGGATTTTCAATACAAATGTCAAGACAGTTCTACTGTATGGGGCAGAAACCTGGAGAACTACGAAAGCTATCATTCAGAAAATACAAATGTTTATTAACAGTTGTCTACGCAAAATACTTCAGATCCGTTGGCCGGACACTATTAGCAACAACGTACTGTGGGAGAGAACAAACCAGATCCCAGTGGAGGAAGAAATCAGGAAGAAGCGCTGGAAGTGGATAGGACACACATTGAGGAAAGCACCCAAATGTGTTACAAGGCAAGCTCTCACATGGAATCCTCAAGGCCAAAGGAGACGAGGATGACCAAGGAACACATCATACGGAGAAATGGAGACAGACATGAGAAAAATGAACAAGAATTGAATGGAACTAGAAAAGAAGGCCCAGGACAGAGTGAGATGGAGAATGCTGGTCGGCAACCTATGCTCCATTGAGAGTAACAAGCGTAAGTAAGTGGTCTAAGACGATACATCAGTGATCAAATTACGGTAATGATTATTACGTAATACTCATAAGATCAATCAACTACGACAACCGTTACAATGTGTACCACAATTAATACTATTCAAATGTGTAGATATACTACTTATACGGATACATAGCTCAATTGTCTAAGTAATGTAAACTTTGAAATCGATATCACCCCGGAAAAAAGTAGTGAGAACTATTGCGAACGAAATTTTGTTTCTGATGCAGCCATTTGGAAATTCGTGCATTAATAAATATATAACAAAAAGAATTAAAATTTTTCAGCATAACTTCTTTGTTAGTTGGCACTCACCGAAAAGATGTTTTCCCGATCTTTTCAGAGTAATTATTACTTATATTTGATTTTGAATTAAGATTATTAATATTAATAACCTAATAATAGATCAATTTTTGTATGTAACGTACTGTGTTCCCTATGAGTTCTTTACCATGAGACTAAACAATCCTATGATCAGAAATTCTCTGAACTTTGAAATTATTTTGTAAAAGAACTTAAAGAAATATAATTTATGATGCGGAAATAATGAAAAATAGGAAACATCTTCCTAAATATCAAAATGGACATAAACATTTTTTGATATATATTCAATAAGTTAAAAATTCTATTTTTATTGTGAAGTGACTTTATTTTGTAACAAACAAACATGCATCTAAACTTTTGATAAAGAAAGATATTTATCCCACATTAATGAAAAATTAAAGTGAAAATAAATGAAAAAATCCTTATTATTACTTTTATAGGTAGAATTCTTTAATGAGGTTGAGAGCCTCTGTCAGGGAATTATTGATGATCTACAAACGGTTGAATCTAACTATTTATTGAAAGTTTGTGGGGATGGAAAACCATACTCTACTTTAAGGTTTACATGTTTTCTTTCGAAGTTAATTTGGCCTGTAGAAAATAATAACACTGTAACTTTGTCAGATGATTTATCTTCACCACAAATCATTTTTGATCGTGATGCATTTCGTGAAACTTTACTAAGATTTTATGAAAAGGATGTGGTTCCTAGATGGTCGAAAGATATGGCTAACGGAGGTAAGAAATATTCAGATCTGTTAACAAATTTGGAAATAGTTTTTTTGCATTGTTAAAAACATCTAAAGAATTTTTACTATATAAGCCTCTACTTAAAAAACTTTATTCCTCAACGTATACACAAATTTTAAGTATTCATTTATAGGAAAGAGCGTCTAGCTCCTTAACAGTAACTTGTATTTTATTAAATAAGTTCTATTTTATTCAGAATGAGTATGTATTTTGTTTGTGACTAATCAACTAAACGTATATTCATTAGTCTATTAACACTATTGCATCGAATTATTATTATTATTGATATTTGAGGTAGCAATGCTAAATTAACACCTTACGCACGTCAAGTTTTATGTATATAATCTACATTTAATGGAACTTGGAACCCAGTTAACTGAAATTCCCAAAAGTGCCAAAAATCTTTAAGTCTTTCGTCTACCAGTTTGCAGTTACTACAACATACATAATGTTATTTTTAATTTTCTAGGCTTGAATATATGAAAAGAAATCTCCCTTCAAATGGTTTGTATAGTAATTAGTAATAATAATAATAGTGATAACCCCCCTCATACCGCTAACAGCTACAGGAGACCTATTACAAAATGTAGATTGTGGACGAAATATCTATCCATATGAGCATCAAGCTTTATAAATCTGAATTAATTTGTTAGTGTTAATAGTTACAATATGTGGGAAGTTTTAAAACAAAAAATGATATTTTTGGAAGCATTCAATTTGATTATACTTTCTTTTCTTTTGTTTAATCCGCAGTAATCGACCATTTTATAGAAGATGTGTTGGACCTTCAAGTGAATGGTTCTGAATTATCTACTATTCCCCTGACCCATTTAAATTTACGTCTAAAACTTTCTGAAAGAATGGAATCCACTGTTTTATCAAATCGTTTATCAGATCAGCATAATCGAGATCAATTAAAACAGTTTAATGTTTATTTTATACAACTACTTTCTTATTTAGCTGGACAATGTTAGTGAAACCTTACTCTACCTATTAATTTTATCTGTGCATATATAATTCGCTGGTAATCATAATTACTATTGGTTTTAGAAAAAAATCTTCATATAGCTTTGAATAAAACTGACGTCAGCATAAAGTATTTACAAGAATTTAACTTCACAAAACAGACATAATGTAGATTTATTGCTTAGGCCATTCTATAGAAATATCAGATCGACCTAAAGGTACTATCAGTCTAATCTGATTAGTAGGATGTACGTAAGATTTTAATAAAACTTATAATTACAGTAGGGTTCAAATTCATGTCATGCAGCACCACATGCAGAGATAATACCATCGTAGTATTTTGTTCTTGACTTACCTCACGTATTACTGAAAGTTACACTGATTGATCACTGAGTAATAACCACTGTCTAATGATATGTTGTATAAATTTTTGGGATAATTGTATTGAATGATGAACATTTTAAATATTAATTCATGTGTTCTGAGCTGGTGAAATTTTCGTCTACTGTTTATCTACTTTATTTGAATTAGGCTACTACTACACGGTTGAAAAAAGCTAAAGTTGGTGGAAAAAGTCATCTAATTCATCATATGTTTAGTACTATTTTCGTATCCTGATAACTAAAGTTTTAGGAATCTACTACACAAAGCTAATTGGTCGTAATTTAAAGATTGTTTAATGACGTTTTAAAATTACATTCTTGTTTTTTTTAAATAAAGTTATATATAAGTTTATAAAAGATGAAGGATCACTTTCGGCTACTTGAACAAGATTGAATCTTCTGTCTTTGTAGTTCCGAACAAAACAAACACTGTGCTGTACAAAATTGTACTAAAATAATACATTTTCTTTTCGAATACTGACTGAATCTATGTATTTAATATTCTACAAAGTCAATAATGATTAAATCTCTCAGTGACTTTTGATGTTAGTAAAGAGTCAGAGATTAATTACACAAGACAGTTTAGTATATCAATATTTCCAGAATAGTTTCTTTCAAAAATACTTTTTATTACTAATATAATAGTTCAAATAGCTTTTTAAAATATGCGTAGGACATTCTAAAATCCTACAGTGCATCTCAAATTAAAACCAATATGAAAATATGCATAACATGCATTTTAACGGTAACATTATAGTGTAACATTTATTGTAGAATAGATTCATTTAAACAGAGCATTATCGTGCATGAAAGTGTTTATAAAACATCTAATCATTATTAAATATTTCATTTTTATCAATGTAAAAATCTCAAGATAGACCTTAGCATACCAACTAACGAATGTCTTATTAAAACGTTGTCAATTTCATGATAACCTTAAACCATACAACCCAGCTACTTATGAGTAGTATAACACAAAAAGTAAACTTAGGATAGATACCTACCTATTTCTTATGCTGATATTAGTTATTGTTACCTTTTAGTATATATTCAGTGGAATCTAGAAAATGCTTATTCCTCCCGTACCTTGTCAACCCTACCTTATTTCACGAGAGCATTACAACCAATATTTGGATTAAATGCTCTATTAAGTGATGCAGGAGTAGATCCAAGTTATCTGGAACAAATAGAATATGGTCTAGATATGAGAAGTACTGAATTGGCTGCTTGTCATTCCACTCAGACGTGGTTACGAGTTGCTGAACTAGTAGGAAACCATGATGAAGAGATTAATAAGAAAGCAATTATGTTGTTAAAATCAATGAATGAAAAGGTAAGTAGTTAACATGAGTTTCATATTACTTTTAAATGCACTACAATCTAAGCAATTATTTTAGTAATAAATAATGAGTTTATTGTGTCAAAAAGGTAGTTCTTTTTATTTCATCCAATAAAGAGGGCAAAATTATAAATTCGAATTCGAAATAACAAATAACTTAAAATGAATATAAACTGTAGTGTATAAAATGTCCCGAGCACCGAAAATTAAGGTCTACCGACAGTCATAGAGAATTTTTTCATCAAACTTATACTACTACGAACAAAAAAGACAACAGAAATAAATCAGACTGAAAATGTTTAATATACATCTAGCAAATCGTTTACAACTAACAGTGAGTTACTATTAGAACCCTTATTTCTTTGGTTCCAAAGATTCCAGCTTCCCATTCTTACTATTTATGCCGAAAGATGTGAAAGTTTTTAATTGTGAGTGTACACTGTCAAAGAGTCCCAAATTCCAATGAAACAGATGTCCAATGTTGCCTAGTTTTTATTAATGCTCTAGCTTATGTTAGTTTATGGTGGTGACCATTCTAAGGAAGACAGACAGTTGGTTAAAATCGCAGACAACTATATGTAACGATCAGCACTAACAATGAGGCTGACTAAAATTATCTTTATAAACTGCTTGTTTATACATTTACAGAATTCTACGAGTTTTCTCAACCTATTCCGTTTTCTTTGTAATATAATTTTGCAGATATATAAATTTTTTCAACACATAACAAATTTAAAACAAAAGTTGCACTTATCAAATGATGTACAAATGCTTCAGGGAACAAATAATCATATTAATGATTATCATCAATTAATCCAAAAGAATAGTAGAAATACAATTCGACGTCCTATTTTTTATTTAATGGGACCACCTATTCATATTCAATATTGTTTGAATAAAAATTGCATTAAACAAAATTTAAATTCATTATCACCAATATGGATTAGTATGATATGGGGTTTAGAACAAAAATCTAATATTAAACGAATAGCTGCATTAAAAGCATTAACTGTACTCATAGAATCACAGATAAACGAAACAATAAAAACAACACAAAATAATAATGCAAATAATAAAAATTGTAAACTATGTGGAAATACAAATGATTCAATTACAAATTCAACATTATTACAACTTTTAAATAATATGCATTCAAATGATTCGGATCCATTGGTGAAGAATTTAGCTGGACAAATTATTGACAGAATTACTACAAGATCTAATACTGAATCACATAATGAACAAGTAGGTTACAGTTAAATTCTATTTTTCTTCTTCCTTTATCATATCCAGTTGCCAGTGAAAACTTTAAAAAATAAACAAATAGCTACAAGTAATAAAATGAAATTATTTTGAACTTCTACAGGTTGTGATTTAGAAATATACCTCCATGACAATTATATCAGAGTTTACTTTTGATTTGGTGGATACAACAGGCAGAGATTGATTTACGAATGTGGAAAAAACATGCATTATCAACGAACAAAGGAAAATATAGTATAAGTAGTGAACAGATATAAAAATAAAAACAGAGAATATCAATTAATCATTGAAAAGTAAATTTGGAGTAATAATTAAATGTTGAAAATAAAATTAAGGGGAAACTTATAGTCACGGATTTCGAGTCATCTTGATTTGATCTCTAAATATTTGCTAGTTTATCTCGAAGCCAAGTTCCCACTTACAATTTCTTCTACTCGTGTAATCAATGAAAAGATAAATAATAAAGGTGGTTGCTAACATTTGCATTGTCGTTTAAACTAAACAAATACAATATGATTTTCATAAGGTATTGCCAAGCTGTCACATCTTGAATCCTCCACTTAGCTTTCAAACGAACATCTTAACTAGAATATGAACGACACTAAATATGTGACATAACAGTGCATGTAGATATCGTAGCCCATGTTCGACACGATAATTTCAAATAAATTGAGCCCAAAATATTGAGATATTTTATAAATCATAATGAGTAGAAATTAAAAATTCTGACGTTTCACGACTTAGCTTAAGTCAATTTTTCTGAGAATGAATAAATAACCGAATTCGACTTGTATTAAATATCATCTAGTTATAAATACCATGAGTAGTATTTAAGTCATTAATCTAACTTTTATTATCGATGAAAAGTAAGTGATCATTTTTTTCGTATTTCATTAATTTCAGATAATTAAACCTACTCGTCTCCTGAAAACAATATGGACTAAATTCAGTACTGCAGAAAATTTACCTTCCAAACCGTCATATATCTTTCAACGATAATAACTAAGATTCACATTAATCTACAACCATTTTACAGTCACTGTATTTTCATACATAGTTTGTACAGCTATTTGTTTTAGTGCTGTATGATAACGAAAATTCCGACTAGGAAATATTTACGCCTTTAAAATTAGGAACAAGAACTAAGATAGATAAAGGCAATGAAAGGAGTTAAACCACGTTTTCGAATATTTGGTATTAAATTATTTAAAATTCTCTCAACATAATTCTGTAAATGTAGAAAGAAGGTCTCTTATACGACTAAGTATTCTAAGTCTAATTGTGAAACGGAATACTAAGGTGTACTTTGTAAATATTACATGATAATAATGAACAAATACTTTATCTAAACAAAGCGAGAACAATAAGATTTTAAGAAAAAGTGGATTCATCCTATTTCAGATTCTTTTTATCAACTGTGAACAGCTTAAAGTTACAATAAGTATTTTAGTTAATAAAGTTGAAATGTATGTTCGAAAGCAGTGTGAACATCGTAATAGCAGGAAGAAGACAAAAGTTTTAACACTAAGGATAGTAAACGTTGATATGCAAAAACAAAAACTAGTTTTATTTATAAATCTATTAAAGGCACTAAATATATGGAACAACTTGGTCATTTTGAGAATTCAATCAGGTATTTATGTTATCGGGAAACGATATCACCTAACATTACTGATGATCATTATTTACGTACTGACATATCATCATCGAAATATTACAAGATTGATATAACGACTAATGACTAAAACGTAAAAATTTTCACACAACTAGCGGATTTCCCGATTCTCCTGTATTTATGTACTGAAAACTTGAGATAGGATTACTTAGAACTGTTTGCAGTATCGTATTCGTATTCCTCATTCTTCTACACCTTCAAAGACTAAGGATTTGAACCTGTGGTCGTGATACAATCAATAATAGAAATAATTGTTAGCGTTGAGCTTGCAATTACTTCATTATCACATAATCAAAAATACAGTCTGATAAAACTTCAAAAGAAAACGAGGTTTAATAAAATAAGCAACTAGATGTGAAGTACACAGATGTAGTATGAACGTTATTTATTGGCATTAAAAGTAATTGGAAAACAATGTGGACTTTCAATAATTTCGGTAGAATAACACCAAAAACTGGTTAGACAGTAAGCCAAATGTATCTAATGTACTTTGCCTCTGTGTATTACAAATAACTAGTGAATAAGAATACAGTAGAATACTTATTTCTATGTTCTACATAATAAGAATAAAACTTGGTTTAAGAATTGCGTATCAGTCTATTCAAAACAAAAAGTCTGCTAAGTCCGCACCTTCGACAAACTGGTCAAGAAAGGTGGTCCAAATTTCAATGCTGCCACTTTACATTTATTCGTAGAAAGAGCAGCATCAGTATTCACGATAAACATAATAAAAGGTACCCTAAATTTTATGAAGTAAAAAAGTCGTTTTATTCCTTTATAAGTTCGACTGACCGTCTACTGTAATTTTGTGCAGACTACAACCCGTTTCTGGATAGCACTAATGACCGGCACAGTCATCGCCGATGTGCTTTCTCATGTCCCTTCACTGCACCTCAAACCTAGACTCAGACTGATCACATCGCGGTCAGCTATTGCTGTCGTGGTTGCGTGCAAGACGGTCTATCCTTCTGGAGTACCTCTCTGGACTCTGATCATGCCCTTGTCTGAGCTAATCATATCTTACGTTTCAGTCTCCAACAAATTCATCCACCTAAACGGATCGATGGCAGCAAGTTGGTTACAGTTTCTTTTGCAACTAAGCATCAAACCGGGCTAGGTTCAAGGTTAGCTATCAGCTCACCGAAAAGTAAACATGAGCATTAGCTGCAACTACATGATTTCATGAAAATGGCGAGTAGAGTCACTTGCGGCTTCGCGAGACGTCCCGCTTATAAGCGCCGTTTCTACAGGCTCCTTACAACTCATTTAGGCACGTCAACTTACTACGGATGACCACGAGTTTGACCATAAACGAAGAATAATGCGTAATGAAACTGTTGTAAGCTTGCGTGGGGACAAGGTTTGATGGTCCGAGCGTCCTGACGAGTGAAAAGCAGCAGTCGCACCTGGAGATTCCACAGGTTCTTTCAGCTCATCCGAGTCACTGGTAGCAAGAAGCGTGGTGTGTTAAACAATCTGTGAAACTGAAAATATCCCAGTAAATAACACCTACTGACGCCTTGAATGATGGGCAGAGTATCTGGAGGAGCAGTCCAACTGGTCTGCAACCACGTCGACACCGGTCAGACTGTCCGGCCTCCCCATGATCAGTGGAATGAGTCGATAGCTGCCAGCCAAATATTAGAACACCATCACTCATATAACAGACTAACAATGGTAGTTTCTCGACATTAGGGATGCCTTCGACTCTTTGGACAAAACTGTACTCTGGGACTGTCTATTGAAGAAGTGTGCCTGAGGAGTTTAATATCTTGAAAGCCGTATATAGTAAAACCTCAGGCAGAGTGAGAGCATACAACCACCTCTCTCCACTGTTCCATTCGACCAGTGGGGTTATGTAGGACTGCCAAATCTCACCATTCCTTTTCAATTTAGCCATCGATGACATTCCGGAAACAACGCTCACGAATGATGGTGGTGTAGATTTTTTACCTGAAGGAAGACATTTCAACCTTGAGTACGCGGATGATAGTCTTACTGTGCGATAATGCCCAAGCCATGTAATTCTCACTTAGTCAATTGGCAATCAGTGTCCGTAAGAATGGTATATGTGTAAAGTACGCTTATAAGACTGGCAAGACCCTGATCCCGCATTCACTCCACGTATTGAAAAGACAGAAGTAGTCGGGAAGTTCGTGTATCTGGGTAGCTGCATAATTGGTGGTGGTGGCGTGAGTGATGAGACCAATCCACGTATAGTGAAAGCCAGAGTAACTTATGCCAATCTGAGCCATCTTTGGCGCCTTCGTGATGTCAGTGTGGCCGTAAAAGTTCGGATCTACAAAGCGTCAGTGAGACCACTTTTGCTCTATGCTTGTGAAACCTGGCCTCTCTGAGTTGAGGATGTTAGACGACTCTCGGTGTTTGATCATCGTTGTCTCCAAAGGATTGCTGACATCCAGTGGCAACGCCATGTTAGTAATGCAGAGGTCCGCCATCGTGTGTTCGGGTAGAGACGATAATCCAATTGGTGTCACCATCTTGAAACACCTACTTCGGTGGTTTGGACATGTTCTACGAATGTCGTCCCAGAGAATTACTTGTCATACATTATTTGCTAACACTGGGACTGGTTGTGAAAAGCCAAGTAGTGATCAGCGCACGGCATAGCGTCATAGTATGAAAGGAAGCTGTACAGGACTGGCTTCTATTGGACCTTCACGACTCCCTGGTTGGGCTCCTGGAGACAGTGAAACACAGTGGCTTCAGATGTTATCAAAAACGGCTCAGAGTAGAAGCCAGTGGCGATCCTGCTGTGACTTTACGTTCTTCATAAAAGTAAACGTGATTTCTTTGACTGAAAATCTTTCTTGTATTTTTTTCTCTAAATGAATTGTTCATCACATTATTATCATTATTACTATCACTAGTATAGTTATTATTACCATTGTTATTTCACTCTCATTCACCAATTTCTGTTCGTTGTTGCTTTTCCTTTATAATACTAACCCTCCATTCTCTAGTTCTTCACAACCTTATTATTATCGTGTGGCGCATGTGTATTTAGTGCCCCTTTGTACTAACTTTTATGTGTCCAAATAAATAAATTATAAGATGAAAATGCTTAACCTTCATAAGTTATTTGTATCAATGTTTCAAAATATAAACACGATACTTAGTCGGCATTAGGACATGAACAATTGAGAAATAAATTGTAAATAAACATATCTCAATAGAAAGTAAACTTAAAGATAGTAATGGTACACTTGTAGTATGTACTAATTAATCCAGAAAGATATTTACAACCTTTTATACTTAAGAAGAAAAAACATCGAATCCAATCATCTTACTTAAATATATATTGAAAAAGAGAAAACAGAAAGCAAAAATTTAAATACAATAAAAGTACACTTTATTTTCAATGGTAAAAAGACAATTAAAATGAATACCCTTGACATGATATACGCATATATATATAAAATTGCAAATGATGAAAATATAACAGTTAAATGCTTTAACACTTTACTTAAACAAATAAATACACCAGGTAGTATTTTGCGTTAATTCCTTTATTTCTAAGAAAAAAAGAGAGGTAAAATTAAGATCAAAAATAAGAGGATGAAGCAAATGAAGAAAATAAAGGGAGGAAATGTTAAATAGTACATTTCAGTGAGAATGAATGAATTATACCGGTTTGTCAAAAAAAACTCAGAAATTAATATACCAAAATATTATTATTATTAATAATAAGACCTCTAACGAACTGGTTGGGCAGCAGCACATAACAGTGACTTTACAACATGTTATCATTCATGCTATTCCAGTAATAATAATTTTCTTTTTAAAATGGGTGAAAATTATTAGAGAAATAGAAAGAATATACATAATAAATTATAATTAAACAATTGAAAAGTGAATAGAACAAAAATTAATGACAATAATATTGAATTTTTAAAAAAAAATTCATATACCTATAACAACGGACAACGAAAAAAAGAATAATGAAATCAAGTCATGATTATAATTCAATTAACACTAACTAGTATTACTTAATTAACAATAAAATAATGTAAATGTAATACGTATATTATAATATAACTTAGCGTACGCATTGCATATCATTATGCGTTTAAAGCAAGCAAAATGGATAATTAAGAGAGAGAAAAAATAATAAACTAATTTAATAGAAAGTGGACTAGAAATGTTGTTTTCTTTTTCCAGACACACATTGGGTATTTAGTTTTATTTGAAGAGGTAGTTTGTATTGCAATAGAGAAAATAATATATACGATAAAAACTTTCTCACATACACACGCACACACACAAATACAGAAACTTTACAAAGGTAAGAAAAAAAAGAAGTAAGACAATTATCTCACAAAACATTGATAGGTAGTAAAGTGATAGTACTAATACAACTTATAATAAGATTTCGCATCATAACAATAACAAAAAAAGTATTTATCTACCACGGCCACCGGATTTAGATGAAACTTTATGTTTTCTATTCACATTTCTAGGCTGTAATTTTAAATCAGCCATAA